TTGACTATGACAATGGGAGCAAATAAAACAAAATATTGCAATCTGACACTTCAAACAAACTGGTACCCCCATCATAAAACTCCATTTTGAATGCTTGAATGATGAAAATCTCCAATTCTAAATTCCCATATCAATATACCTAACCTGAATTAAAGACCACTGAAATAGCTTTACATTCTTCCAGTGATACTAGACATCTGCTTGTCACATACCGCCTCTCATATCTGCAACGCAGTTTAAGAAAACCAAACTCATTACAAACCCAAGCTGTTTCAACATACCGCCTCTCATATCTGCAACGCAGTTTAAGAAAACCAAACTCATTACAAACCCAAGCTGTTTCAACATGAATTAAACACATAACCATGACAACTAATGTGTGGTGATAACAGAAATATGAGCCTTCAACATGTTCAACATTATTAGTAGCCATTGGAGTGGTAGAGCATGGGGAGAAGTAACCAAGGTTTTATATTTACTTCTCTTTACATTACATCAGCCTTGTGTTACAAGATGATGAAGAAGGCGGAGACGGCCAGTACAGGAGACCAACACAAGCTGGGAAACACATACTGCTATGCCAGTCTCATCCTCAGTTATCCAGGGTATTACCATATTAAGCACCTTGGGTTTGTAGAATTTACTAAGTGTATGTGTGTGTGTGTGTGTGTGTTTTGGTGCTTTTTGGGGCAGTCAAGACATGATTTTATCTCCTGGACCATACTGTCCCCCTGCAACAAACCAATGACCCCCAACATCACATTGATGACCCCTTCAGAACAAACAAGATGTCATGATGACCCCTACATTTGGGTGGCCAGGGCAAATCAATGATAAATACCCAGGCTCCACATGCCTTGTGAGTGCCTTATGGATGCTCTGATGCTAAATAAAGCCATGGCACCTAAGTGCTCATCTTCATAGAAGAGAAACAAAATACACTGGATAATCAATGATGTGCCATATCAATCACAGAAGAACTGCATACATAATTGTTCTCATTCTTCCGTGCTATGTTGCTAGTACTCCAATTGACAAGCAGAAAAAAGGATAATTAGAGATGTTATATACCACGATCAAAAGGTCATGAGAGAAGATACATTTGGCATTTGCATATTGAAGCATTAAGAAGTACTGATCAAACATTCCATGCTTGAGACACACATACATCCTGAAGCCCACAAGCATAGTTCAGACAGTTAGAAACATCTGGTGATTAGGATTATTTGTTGAAACCTATTCAAATGTTTACAAGTCATGGTAGGCATAGTTAAGTGACTAAATCAGTGTTGGCTTCTAAACGGTTGAAAATCAAGACATGAAATGCTTCACTCCACATTAGCTGTAAGAAGTTAAGATGGGCCAAGGGTCCTTGATTTACCTGGGAATGTCTTGATCTAAGGACTCCCTTGATATTTACTTTTTAGCAGTCTTCAAACTTAAGTGGGGCCCTTAGCTTCTCAGGTATTTACATCCAGACACCCCCTAAAACTTTATCTACCAGGTATTAACATTAGGGTTATGGAGAAGGAGGCCTGGACTTTCATGTTTCATTTCTAACACTGTTTGACATTAGGTTTATCATGTTTATGACAAGAACCTCCTAAATTTCATCCCTAATTTCAAACAATGATCAGCCTAGAATGTCCTTGTCCAATTTGACATGTAATCACAAACATAATTGATACAACTGCCGTATTTTCTTGAGTATAGTGCGCACTTTTTTTCCAAAAAACACAGCTGTGTGGAAGGGGGTGCGCATTATACACGAATTATGAGTTTGGATGTTTTTTTCCCCCATGGAAAGACATTACCGTGAGCACGAAACACCGGAAATACCATGTCAACAAATCCATACTGAAGTACGCAAAATAATCATGTGATTACACTGTCTGGCTATAAAAAGTGTTATTTGTATATCTGGACTTATGTTTGTAACTTATTTCATTAATTTTATTCAAAATTCCTTTTAATATTGTTTTTATTAATTTCGGCGAAATCGTGTGTGAAGCGATCGGAAGATCGCACAACTCACCGTTATTAACAGCAACTACGGTCAGAATACCGCTATTGACGCCTTGAAACGAACTTTAGTTGACAGAGAATGGATACCTATATCATAAATGACATACTTTGACTCGTTAAAAGTCATATTTGTTTTTGTTTGACAATTCTATGTCAACATGAAATTCTCGCGATCACGCGATCATGTGCGCGTGAGCCTTGACGGTGACTGGTCAGATTGGTTCCATGTAAAAAATAATACCCGGGGAATAGCAATCAGCTGCTTCGCTTAGGGTTATTATTATTTTAAATATGTTTAGTAAAGGCTGCATATAATTAAGAAAATAATGGAATATATTATTCCTGATAAAAAAAATAGTTTCAGATACAATTTTTGCCGATCCTTGCATTAAAAATCCTATAAAGTTATATCATTGGGTGTGTCTTGACCGAAGCACCGGTCGATTCCAAGAAAACGTGTGTACAGCTGATTGCTGTTTCCGGCTTAGTTTACGAGACAATACACAAGGTAATCTTAATCCCTGGATATAAAACAATGCCTAGCAGAACAATAAATACTATTTAATCGGTAAATAAACATGTCTGGTGATTTTTTATCTCAAATTTCGAATTTGTACTGACGAAGTTTCTCATCACCCGTTCGTTTGCCGGACTTCGCTGAAAGGGTACGGTGTAATTTTTTTCTGCGCATAATATTCAAATTTCTTTTTTTTCAAAATATTGAACCCGCTAGAGGGGGGTGCACATTATACACGGGTGCGCACTATACTCAAGAAAATACGGTACATGTAATGAAGTACAGGAAAACTGGTAGATATCGGTGACAGACAGAAGTAATCAAGTTCTTTTTGTTATATATAATGTGATACCTAGTGAACATACATGCATCTTCAATGCCATACAACACTATGGTATCTACAGGGGAAACAGCAGTAGAAATCAACCAAAACCATTTCCATTTGCTATGCTGAATAGTGATACCATGGTTAAAATTCAACAGCGTTTCTTGGGTCATAAGTTTGCTGCTGTAGTTGGGTTTTTTTCAAATTTAGGGACCCTCATAAACCTTTCACATTCGGGTCATGACAAGTACTCTTGACGTCCATGCTAAATCTAGTTTCACAAATGTTATATTTGGGATAACACTTAGTAAAGTACAGTGGCTGAGTGGGTTAGATCGCTGACTTTGTGTGCTGGCGGCGATTAGGTGCCTCACTCTGGCAGTGTGGGTTCAAATCCCGGATGCGACTCAACCAAAAAAAGTACAAGAATCTGTGCTATCCTAAATATAATATTTGTAACATTTCACCACTTGAAATTGTGAATTTATAAATCTTGTTTGTTGTTTAATGCTGCAATCAGCAGTATGCCATCACCATGACGGCAGCCTGTAAACCTGCTGACCATACAAACCAGTGATTAATACCGTGAGCAACGATCCACTACAACAATGACACACAATCAACCAAGCCACCAAGTCTGAACACGTGTTCCAACTGGTCCCCTCTAACTAGCAGCACATGTTGCCAGGCACCTATTCTAACCCGGAATCCCAATTGGGTGCTTAATTTTGAACGATCGATAACATATTCAGGACTTTCCCAAAATGCCTGAAATTTGACTTGCTCTTGGGACATCTTTAATATTAACATAATGAGGCTATCTGATTTGGGTGAGTGGGCTTGTGCCAATTTCTATCGCTGAATACGCTTTACACCACTAGTCTATTTATAAACATTGTTAAAAAGATGTGTCAATGTCTTCAGAGACTATGCACTACAAGCAGCATGGTATAGTATGACTATGACTCGTATATTATCACGGTAACAGTAAATCTAGAAATCCACATCCCCTGTCGACTGTTTACTTGTGCTAATCTAAGCACAGTATTTCATAGTTTGATCGAACACAGAACTCATTGCAATATGTCCATGCTACTCAAAAGTAAACATGTTTACTTTTTTAAATGTTTCCCCACATGATGTGTCATTAATGTTGAACAAAGAACAAGAAACATTTTGCATATGACATATTTACTAGATTAGTAAGCCTGTGCCATTACGACCCATAATAACTTAACTACCGTGATAATATAGCCTACCATGCTATTCAGTTTCGACATAGAATATGCATGTTTCTGATCCTGACAAGTGTCCACTATAATACATGCATGACACTGCCAATAAGTGTCATAGTATGCTGTGATGAAATCAATAAATTATCACAACATTTTATCATGTAAAATATAGCAGACCCTTAAAAACAAGGAACTATCATTGCTCCAAAATAACTAATAGAATTGGACAGATACAAACAGGTGAATGGTCAATTCTCAGCATATTACAAATTACAGCATGTATAGTTGAACCCCAGCACCACATACACACAGCAACACAGCAAGTACCAGTATAATAGTTAGGCTAGTTAGGCTTGTAACCATGGTAACCCTCAACCCAGTATGACAAAAGCAAAACAGTGGTTCGTTTGTCCCTACTAACAATCCCAAATTCATCTGACTGAAATAAGTTTTATATCCTTAACCTGTCATTTTAATTTTTTTTTGTCAATCTGAATATGCATTTAACATGTTTAGAAAAGTAGAAAATTGAAAAGTACCAAAAGGAGGTGTTCAATGAGAAGACAATCTACTTACCATGCTGACCCTAAACAATGGTTTAGGCATGCATGGTACTGGGAAACCAATACAAGGAAACCCTGTTAATCCAGACAATACTTCCACAGAGATATAGTCCACATTAACACAACATATGGACACATGAATAACTGTTAATAGTGGACAGGTAGAAGTTCCAAACCATGATAGAATTGTCAAGAAAGTTCCATTTCCAGATTAACAGAGTCCAGACTAACAAGGTTTCAGTGTACAGGGTGATGTGTGCCTGTCCTGAACCCTGCCTATGTGAGACAATGGAGGAATGATGTATTAGGGCAGGAGAAGGAGACAAACTACTTACACCATCCTCCTCGTCCTCCTGGAATACAAGGAGGAACTGTCACACAAGCATACAACATCTGGCTTACCTATGGAAACAACGCCAGGCTTACCTACGGACACAATGCCAGGCTTACCTACGGACACAACGCCAGGCTTACCTATGGATACAATGCTAGGCTTACCTACGGATACAACAACAGGCTTACCTATGGACACAACGCCAGGCTTACCTACGGACACAATGCCAGGCTTACCTCCGGACAACGCCAGGCTTACTTATAGATACAACGCCACGCTTACCTAAGGACACAACGCCAGGCTTACCTACGGATACAACAACAGGCTTACCTATGGATACAACGCCAGGCTTACCTACGGACACAATGCCAGGCTTACCTACGGATACAATGCCAGGCTTACCTACGGACACAACGCCATGCTTACCTATGGATATAACACCAGGGATTATCTACAGACTTAGCCACATCTGCAACACCTTGCTAGTAGTTCAATTGTACTACACCTTCTTACAGCACAAACTTTGAAACTGTTAGTGATTAATATTTTCAGGACTTGGAACCAAGCTACAGTACCAGAAACCTTGCTCTACTTGTTGCTCAAATATTCTGAAACTTTGTGAGAACTTAACTAAGCTATACATCACCAATACTACAGGCTTGAATACAGGATATTCCTTCATCAACCAGGAACACATACGGGTGTCATGTAGTAGGGACGCATTTATTTTTATTCAGGTGAGGCAAATGAGCCCTAGACCTAGCATATATTTTGTCCAAACCATATCATACATATAAATACTCATTTACAACCAGGGCTAGCTGAAAACATTATCAGAATTATTACAGGGAAAGAAATGGTAATGATTATCAATATGAAAATTGTGTCATGGATACTATCTTACATAAACTATTGTGAGTTTTAATTCACTGAAGCAAACTTGTTTTGTCCATTGCCAAAGATGAAAGCAACTGAAATCTTAAGTGTCCACAAAGTAATCCATACATAAATGTGTGACCACTCACCAGTGATGTGATAAATGTTGTCTTCTCTCTTAGCTTTTGGCACATTTGCTTAAAGTTGCTTATCCGATATTTATCAATAATTGATCGATATATTGTTAACGATTGTCAATCTCTATGATCTATATTGATTGCCAGCCCTATTTACAACTATAATTAACAAATATAAATCACAACCCAGTTAGAGAAAAAGAATAGTACGGAGTACGGTACGCTATGATTTCAAAACATTTCAGTGGAGCACAATACATTTCATCCATAATATACTATCTTTCCAATTTGTGTCTATAGTATAATGACCCCTAAATCCTTATTCTTCAACAAAACTTTCTGACCATATCCCCCTCAGCCATGGTAACTCTCATCTTCATTTATAATGCAATTAACAAGAACTGTTTACAATTCAGGGTACCCAAGCTGCTTTTTGTAAAATGATTAATGCAGTTTTGAAAGGAGGGAGAACAACTCAGGAAGACTTTGAGACTGTTTCTATCAATAAATTGATTTACTACAGAAAAGAATAACCAGGACTAAGGAAGTATCTCATTACCATGGTTACTCGCAGTCTACTTTCATAATACTTATTCTATGATTATTTTCATGATTTTGGTGAGTTGTTTTAGAAAATATGAAACAAGGTTAATAATTAATATTCATGCTATCTTTAGAGGTCATCCTATAAACAGAAGATTACAGTGGGGCACTGTGTGGGATATCACAATCCACAGAAAGCAAAAACTCACAACACCATGCAAGAGAAGAACTAGGAACGATAAAGGGACTTTTTCACCAACAAGAATCGTATAGTTTCAGAGCAAAACATTTAGAAAACTTTATGAATGTTATCACATGTTCATATGAATGTGAACTGGACTCACAACAACGCAAATGAGTGAGTACGCCAAAAACGTATCAAATCAGACTTTAGAAGCTTTCAGGAGCAAGTCTCAGATGTACATGAAGTCAACATATGGTCAACTTATTCATCTTGGTCACATTCAGACTTGCTCAGTTACATTTTCACTTGAAAAAACCCAGCATTTTTCACTCATTTTAACATATAAAGATGTCACCCATTTAAACGTGTTGAATTATTCCGTAAGTTTGAAATTTGACATTTAATGTGGCCCAAAAGGGTCCTTATCATACCACGTCCTTCCATCAAAGCCGTGGAAGGAGGTAAACAATCACTTCTAGGTCAACTCTCTGCTCTCAGTGTTTACTTATACGCAAGGGGCTGGAAAGCAACAAGTCAGATGACAGAATATTACTTACCGACAAATCTTTAAAAGGATGAATTATGATGCCTAGGGGTAATCGTGCTTTATTCAGTAATGATGATGTCTGCGGTATGGCGTTCAGAGTACATCGGAATATACTGGAAAAAGAAAAAAAATAACATGGCTGTTAACATGATACAAGGTCCAAATAATAAATAACTGAAGCTTGTTTCTTATCTGAAGTACAAACCCAGTTGTTTGAAGAAAAGGGGTTGGCAATGTTGTTTAATTACTTGGCTTACATTATTAGTATTGTGCAGACCTTCAGTGTAGTGTGAGCAAGTGGGTTGGACCTTAAGCCATTTTGAACAGGTTTCAGCAATATAACAGAATGTCAGCTTCATGTGGAAGGAACTGCCAAAGTAACACAGGTCATGGACACTCATCACTTTGGTGAAACCCACAGGCATAGCCATGATACTGATTGACCATGGTCTGGATAAGAATCATTAATAGAACCAGCAGGCAATGGAACTAAAGGAAAACCAGTGTTCTTGGGGACTGACTTCACTATTCCTGGTCAACATGGTCAAGGTATAAGCCAATACCATCCTGTCATTCACACTTTTTCACAGGGGTTATTATCACATAACACAAGCTACAATTTCATAATTAGTCCTTACATGATTACATGTCCTGACCTTACCAGGGCTTTGTCTGTTCTGCTACTAAAAACTGGTTCTTGAAGTGAACTTATTCTGTCTCTGAATGTCTACGAGAACTGTGAAGAGCATAAGTTCATTTTCAAACAAGATTTGAGGTGCATAGTATGAAAATGAGCATAGCATCTTCCCACATGCACAGTGCAGATGCTTCCACTTGTATTACTTACTCTGGGTTACAGTTGACTTTCTTGAAGTCGTGTTGAAAGCCTGGCTTCACCGTCTCAAGTCCGTCTGTAGGGATGAGACGACGTTCCTGCATCAGGTTCAGAAAGCGCTGGGAATCCTGGGAACACAAGAAAAGCTGCTGGTCAAGACATCCTCCCAATACCACATTGTTTCATTGGGGGTCATTGGTTTCCCATGCAGAGCTGTCTTACCTGGTGAATTTCATCTTGCTTTCTGGCCTAAATGCATCACTGCATACACTTTGGATATTTTAGGACTGCAATTTGGTATTTTGAAACCAACATTGTTAACATTAATTAAGATTATTTGAACTACCTACTAACCATGATTGAGATTTAAGTACTATCCCATGAATATTTGCTTCGACAGTGATGCTGACGAAAGTCAGGGGCATTTTGCTGTGATTTGTGCATCTGCACAGCGAATTATGGGCCCTTAAATAACTAGGCTAACCATGTCTCTAACGACATCAAAGTATGTTTTATAGGTATGTGCATACTGTAAGTAAATAAATTGCTTAAAAAATTAAAACTTCTAAAGACAAAATACACAACTCACATCTACGCCCATATTTGAGAAGTTTGACAGTATATCATTTGGGTTGCTGCTTCCACCCCCCGGCTGGTATCCCCCTGCCGGACCCGACATTGGACCAGGGGCAGGCTGTCCCCCAGGCATCTGACTGTAGCCTGGTTGTGGTGGTCCTTGGTACCCTTGTGACAAAGACGGGGCCTGGTACTGTGGTGCACCTCCAGGCTGGTACCCTTGGGTACTGCTAGGTTGGTACCCTGTGGTACTGCTAGGTTGGTATCCTTGCGTGCTGGTTGGCTGGTATCCTGGTGCAGTGCCAGGCTGGTATGCTGGTGCACCTGTTGGCTGGTATCCTTGTGTACTGCTAGGTTGATACGCTGGTGCACCTGTTGGCTGGTATCCTTGTGTACTGCTAGGTTGATACGCTGGTGCACCTGTTGGCTGGTATCCTTGTGTACTGCTAGGTTGATACGCTGGTGCACCTGTTGGCTGGTATCCTTGGGGTGGTCCCTGGTAGCCTTGCTGCCCTTGTGGAGCTGGCATGGAGTTGGAGGGCTACAAGAGAGGAATGAGTAAGTGAAAGAGCGATTGAATGAGTGAGTGAATGATTGAGTGAGTTTTACAACACTTCGAAACAGGAGTTTTGTTATGTCTCGATCCTTTACATCTCATATTGATTCAGTATTTAATCAAATTTCATCATTGTTTATTTGTTTGTTGCATACATCAACATTCAAGATATACAACAGTGGTCTATAAATATTCAGTTCTGGACCAGAACATCCACTGATTGATATTATGTGCAACAATCCACACTGTTGGGGTACAATGACACTCAATCAACCAAGTCAGTGAGCCTGACCAACCCATCCATAAAATCATCTCATACCTAGTAAAATCTAGATATTTTTTACATTTGTATACTTATCCTGCATTATTCCTACATGCATTTACTGCTGTGTAAGACCAAGCTGTGCGAAGTTCAGCTGAAGAAGAAGTTGTTCCAACTAGTTGTGCAACCCATCCCATCACATCGCGCCCACGTGACCATGGAAGTGATGAGTGAGTGAGTGAGTATGGTTTTACGCCGATTTTAGCAATATTCCAGCAATATCACGGCGGGGGACACCAGAAATGGGCTTCACACATTGTACCCATGTCGGGAATCGAACCCGGGTCTTCGGCGTGACGAGCGAACGCTTTACCACTAGGCTACCCGACCGCCCCTGGAAGTGATGATGTCAGGGATCGACCATTACTGCTGTCACTCAGACTGAACAGTCCTGTTTTGAGTTTGTCAAGCCTTATCCATTGACATCCTTTGCGTAGTTCTCAACACTTTGTGTATTTGTGATTTATATCCTTCCTATGGTTTGTGACTTCATATCTTACATACTATTTTTGTGATTGCGTTAACATTTTATGCTTGATGGTGGCTTTTTTCATAGTAAATATCAGGCGTATATCACATAGCGCCCAGGTGACCATGGAAGTGACGATGTCACAGATCAACACATTACTGCTAGATCTGAAGACATCATGGAGGGGCAGCTGTGTGACGGGTGGGCCAGTTTAGACAAAGTATTGCAGGATAAGTATACAAATATAAAAAATATCTAGATTTTACTAGATGTGTTAACATGGTTAACTTATCCTGCACTACTCCTTAATGCATTTTTACCTGATGGTACAGCGGAGAGCATACCTTCAGATGTGATCCCGAAGAAAGCCATGACAATGTCCAGACACTCAGCAAAGCATCCTTAGCAATAAGATGCGAGAGGTGCAATCTCATTAAAATCAGATCTTAGTTCTCGCTATCGCTGAACAAAGATCTGAGGACATCCCATTACGGGTCATGTCAGGCCGACCGACCAATGGAAGGACTGACAAGAAGTTGACATCAGCCAATCAGAACGCAGCTTTCTCGTTCTTTACGGCACTAATTTCAAATTGGCGACTACGCTTCTAAACATATTTTGACAAATTCTCGATTAAAAATTACAAACCTGAACAAAAGAGCATTCTGAAATGGCAAATATATTGTCTAGATTGTATAGATTCAGTCGCTAAACCCGTGTTAAAGTTTTTGAGGTTGCATAATTAGAAATCACATTCCGACTGTCACTTTCATGATCTGGTAAGCGACGCTCTGATTGGTTGGATGAAAGGTCGTTCTGACATGACCCCTCATAGGATGTCCTCAGATCTTTGTTTAGCGGTAGCGAGAACTATGGTGTGATTTTAATGAGATTGCAAGAGGTCTAAGACTGACGCACCAAGCCAATGCAAGTAGCATGTAAACCTTCTAGTAACGCACCAGAGAGGTCAAAGGTCAACTCCGGATATCTACAAGAGTCTATGGCGCTTAGGGATGGTGACCTGCTGGGACCCACAAAAAGGGCCAAAGCTGTGCACAGCCTCCACATCCTCCAAGGCTGTGTCTCGCAAGTAGTGGTTGATGAAGACTGGTGGCATGGGTGGCCGAGATTTTGAAAAACCAGGGTGAAGGCTTTCGGGTTGTCTGGCCTGGAGAGAGTGTCCGCCAGAATGTTCCTGCATCCCCGGGATGTGTTGGAAAAAACAGACCGTCTGTTGTAGCAGAGAAGGAGAGTGTGTTGTCCCTTGGTTGTGTCGATACCACACCACCGTGATGTTGTCAGTCAAGATGGCAACTTGGGTGTGCTGGAGGGTATGCTGCCAGTGAGAGACTGCCAGAATGAGAGCCTCCAGTTCCAAGATGATGATGTTCCACTGGCGATGCTTGTCAGACCACAGCTCTGAGGAGTAGGATGAGCGTGGTTGTGTTCTGGTGGTTCAGGGGGAAATCATCAACATATGCCTCAAACTGGATATGCCTCAGGTGGAGGAAGGTGCCTTGGTGATGTGTGTAAATAACTGTTTTATTCCACTCGTCCTTATGATGATAACATATAGCAAAACCCTTCATAATGGCAAATTTCTACTGGTCCTTATGATACATAAACTTTTGGGCAGTTTGGCAAGGACTATAGGACTTGTGCCAATTTCTAACGCTGATCTGTAGCCATGAGGGGTCCATATATGGGGCCTGGAGAAGCTGTTGAGGTGTCTGCTGCAAGGCCGGTGGTCTGAAACCCTGGGGCACTGATGGCACTGTTCAGAGGTGCTGGCGCTGATGACAAGTAGTATGTCAGCGGGAAGGTATATCATGGTCAATGGCATCATCTCATGGTCGATGGAGGTGAAGTCAGTCATAGAGGTGTAGAAACTAGAGGCTTCCTGCCCTAAGTAGAGGGAGCAGGCGTGGCTGGTGGGGAAGTACAGCCTCAGAGGAGTCCGACATCTTCTTTCGCTAGTTTGCAAGCTTTCTGAGAATATTGTTTCTGTGAGACCCTCAGGTACTTGGAGAAAGCTGTGGGTGAGAGTGGTAAGCAAAAGCTACACTTTGCAGCTGTAGAACACATATCAGTGCAGTCCAGACACAAGGGGTGGGAGTTCCAGACTTGTTACCGTGGCACTTAGTGTAATGGGGCAGAAATCCGCAAAGAAGCAGAGGTAGAATCACAATGCGGTCTCTCTTTGATTAGGTGTGCATGCAATATTGAAAATCCAAGAACACAGAGGTTAAAGGATAACATTATGCAAGGAAGAAAAAATGCTTTAAAACCCATGGGGAAGCATAGGTACAACATCATAAACAAGCATATAGTCGACGAAGTCATCTATATCCCCCGCCATTTTAACACGTTATGGTCCCAAACCAGGTAACTGACCGAACATTTCTCTTAGGCCATGTCAAAATAGCTGCAATGGAAATTCTAAAATAAACATTTAAAAAAAACTCCTAAGTAGCAAAAGGCACCAGTTCAGTATGTGTCTGGTAAACATGCAAAGTTTTGTAAGAAATTATTTAACGGTTTTTGAGTTACGCTTCGGAAACGAACAGCACCCTTATAGAACCTAAGTACAACTTGTTGTCATGGAAACGTAAAAAATAAAAATTTATAAAATTCCTAAATAGCAAAAGGCACCAGTTCAGCATGAGTCTGATAGACATGCAAAGTTTCGTAGAGAAATATTTAACGTTTTCCGAGTTATGCTCCGGAAACGATTTCGGGACGCACACACGCACACACGCACACACGCACACACGCACACACGCACACACGGACAGAACCCATTTCTATATCCCGTTGGGGCGGGGGATAACAAAGTACCAAGCAACACAAAGAATACAAAACACAAGACATGAAAAAACATGACCACGGGGTGAATTTAAAATGGCCAATTAGAACAACAATACGCCTGATATTTACTATGAAAGAAGCAACTATGAGGCAAAAAATGTTAACGCAATCGCAAAAATAGTATGTAAGATATGAAGTCACAAACCATAGGAAGGATATAAATCACAAATACACAAAGTGTTGAGAACTACACAAAGGATGTCAATGGATTAGGCTTGACAAACTCAAAACAGGACTGTTCAGTCTGAGTGACAGCAGTAATGGTCGATCCCTGACATCACTTCCGTGGTCACGTGGGCAAGATGTGATGGGATGGGCTGCACAACAAGTTGGAACAACTTCTTCTTCAGCTGAACCTCACACAGCTTGGTCCCTATGTCAAAACACAGCAGTAATTGCATCAAGGAGTAATGCAGGAGAAGTTAAAAAATGACAAGAATAATTTTCTTGGGATCAATTGTAAGCCAGAATCAGCACACGGTCACACCAACCAGTCTTCTGCACGACAGCACACTACTACTGCCATACTCCACTGACAAGTTCCATCAGACCATTCACGACATCTGACGTCAACCACTGACATCATGACATTTCCCTGTTACCCTACTCACCATTTGAGGGTACTGCCTCCTCCCCGTGATCCCTGTGGTTCGACTCATGTCTTGTGACGGTGGGGCAGCTGAGCCTGGGGGTGAGGACACTGGGGTCATGCCTGTCAGCAGCAAGCAGAACAGTATGTTTAACATTCATGAAATCCCAACAGGGTGATTCTTGGATATCAAAGTTGGACATCAACCATAAAGTGTAACTGACAATCTCAAAGACATCCATACAGGCAGGTTTGAAAGTCACATACTATATGTATTACTTATAACTAGTGCAACTACTGATTGTTATGCATACTACATGTACTATCAACAACAGTATTGGCATTTTTCAAATTCCTATCGATATAGTACTATCGTAGCACAAATAAATTTAGGGATTGATTTATATTCAATATAGTTGTTGTAGATATCGCATTAACATTCAATCAGCGCAATTGAAAATAGCGTAGATCTTTCAATAGTTTTATCTGCATTAACACTCTCATTGCACTTACAAAAATAAAAATGTCCTATTGCTTGAATAAATTAATCTACAGTACCTAAAAATGTCAACAAAAAACTCAGTTTATTCAATTGTGAAAAGTTGTCAATTGAAACAGTGACTTGCATACTCGCAACATTGCATGCTATCTCTTACTGTGCATAACTGATTCCTATATAACTGCATTGAGCTCTGCTGACAATGGTTGAGTGCGCAACATTTTTTTAAACAAACAAAACATTTTGGTAGCGCATGAAATATTATTCCATGATCTACAACTCCAAGTCATTAAACATATTTTTATTTAAGACATAAATCCTAGCAGAAATCAAAGACACTGATCTACATGTATGTGTGTCAGTGCAGAAATCAAGGGATAAAAGGCAATCATTGGTAAAGTTTCAAAACACGAGTAAATTTCGATTTTGGAATGACAGCAAAACAAAAACTAAATGAATATACATACAACTCTTTCTCCATAATAATCCACAAGTTTCAGATGAGAAACAATCGTATTTTAGATGAGATTCGCCTATCCGGTGACGGCACCGGTGGAAGAGTTTTCATGAACGTAATTTTTTGTTAATAGTAATGCTAATATTTTTAAATACATGTATTCGCAGTGGAATAATTAATGTTCAAAAATAGGATATCCCAGGATATATCTATATAATCTGGTAATATTACTTGCAACATTATTTGAGTCACAAGTACCAAAAATCAAATACAGTTTCCCACTGTGTGAAGATGAAATATCTCTGAAAATAAGCAAAATCTCATCACACGCCGAAAAATCTCCTTGCTTATTGACCAGGGGAGATTTTCTCTCATAGGTAAAAATTTCCAGGATAATCCCTGCAATTGTGATAGTTCAAAAGTTGGATATATCATTACACGATTCAAACTTTTTTCTTGCTAAAAGGTGATTAATACAAAAGATCAGCTCTTCTATAACACTGCTAAAACATGAGCCAGAGGAAGTTTTATGAGAATGACCCTGACCTTGAGGAGATGGTGCAAACTGCCCCTCCATATCATCATAAATCTGGTTTGCGATCGGTGACGGTGCCCGAGAAGATTTCTGTGAGGCTGGTTCTGGCAACAAAAGTGGTAAAATGAGTTACTGAAGCTCAATGATATAATCTGTCACTATGACAATTTCAATAAATCAAGATCAATACTGTAAAACTTGAAATTAATGCGTCTCCAAATCAATATGACTGCTGACTCCAAGACAAAAATGTGACCCAATACTAATGCTTTTACTATCCGACATCCCCTGCTTACTAACACAACATGACATGTTTAATACCATTCTACTAGGTCGATGATGATTTTGCATCACTCTTCACAAGCTCCAACAGAAGGCAAATAACAGAATGTATTTGCTTACACCCCTTGTTCCCAAACAATTTACTCTGGCAAACATCCAAACATTTGATTTGAACATATATTTTATAACATCATGTAACTGTAATAGTCAAGCTTCTGCCTCAGCACTGTTACTATTTTCAGAGACAATCCCATGGCAGTGAACCCCTGTCTTCAGTGTACTGATTATAATGGAATGGACAGATCTACACATTGCCATTCGATGGATGCATTAATTAGAGCCCACCTAAATCTGTAACATTCTCATAACGGTTTGAAAACAACCTCTGTATTTTCATCCATAACAATGTAATGTTACATACAACAATGAATATATACAAGATATAAGATGAAATAACATTGAACCAACTCAACATATAACAAATAATTTAACCAAGCTAAAACATAGCATTAAGCTAAGAAAAATAATAGTCTTGATTCTCAGGCACCTACCACATCATCATAGTCTGCCATACGTTTTGTTTTTATTTCCATTTTCAAAAAAAACCATAAAAATCCTCATACATGTACCAAACACTATGCACAAAAAAAATTGAAAATGAAAACAAAAACAAAATGTGCAGTGAACTTTATGATGATGTGGGCAGTGCCTGAGAACCAAGCCTAATATCAAAGGTAGCACAAAAACAAATTAAATTGTCAAAAATATTCAATGTAGTAGAGATGCAAGATAAATATTTCGAGAACATCCAACATGTTTAAGACATCAAAGGTAATTTCACAAAATTCTAATACAATAAAATTAGTTACACACATAAAGCAGAATAGAAAAATGGCATAAAGACAAAAATGGCATAAAGACAAAAATGGCATAAAGACAAAAATGTGAAGAAAGATTCAGAAAGGATAAACAATGATAGATGCATAATATACTGAAACAAGTGCAACCAATGTGACGATAAACAATTCAAGGCAAGCAAGGAGGGATAGTGGAGCCAGGGATGTGGTATTACCGATGCCGTGGTTACCTGAGCCGGGAGTGAGTCCAGGAGTCAAGTTCATGGTGGGGCCCACCTGGTGTGAGTACTGGCCGTGGCCATGGTAGGGGACAGGCAATTCATTAGGTCGACCTACGACATGCAATGTTAGTTTATATCACGCAGCAAAACCTATCTGTATTTTCAAAAGCCACAATCAGAAAATATGACATAGTTTACTTTTTACTTATTTGCTCAACTGCTTCCAAATCAGAAAAAATATATAGTGTCAAGCTATTCATCTAACTAATCTATCTCTGTATAAGAAATCATAAAGATATAAAAAAATAATTTAAAATACAAGTTATCATGGTTACTGTTACTGTAACCATGAACAGCCACTGGCCACTCCTTATCATTGAGTGAGTGAGTATGGTGGATATCAACATCAGCTGAAGCTGTGGGGGCTACAGGGCAAAATATAGGTCCCCAGCAACCTATGCTTGTGGTGAAGAAATGGGATAGGTCCTCCGGCTTGGTTGATTGTGCATGTTGTATGTCATTGTACATGTTGTATCCCAATTGCATAGATTGATACTCATGGTGCAGGGATTTATATAGGTCAGCTCAAAGGTCAATATACAGTCCCAGGTCTCAAACAAAATGGCTGTAAATATTGCCAAATTGGAATTACAAATTTCCAAACTTTTGTTTTATAGTAATAACCAATTTTATGGCTTTGTTTAGGTGACTTATTTCACTGCCCAATTTGAGCAAAATAATGTTTTTTAACCAAATTGCCCGTTAAGGGCACTTAATTTGGAAGTGATGTTAATCACTGGATTGTCTAAAGATCTGGTGACATTCTTTACACATATTAATCATGTTGATAGCTCAACATCACAAGTGTGGGAGATAGGTTGAACACCACTTGGAACAATATTTCAGTCGTATCATGTTGTGTTGGCTAAAAGTGGAAAGAAATGATGAAACCTGTGAGCATGACAAACCAATAACATAATCAGGGCGAATCTGGGATCCACACCCACGACAACAGGTTTCTGCTCTGCCTAAGGGACAACTTTGCACAGTGAGTGAGTTGAGTTTAATGCCACATTGAACAGTATTCCAGTTATATCATGGCGTGTTAATTTGATGTGGGAGGAAAGTGATGCAGGTCTTGGCTAAATCTCATTAAAATCAGATCTTAGTTCTCGCTATCGCTAAACACAGATCTGCGGACATCCCATTACGGGTCACATCAGCACGACCTTTCATCCGACCAATCAAAGCGTCCCTTACCAGATCATGAAAGTGACAGAATGCGTTTCCTAATCATGCAACCTCAAAAACGTTAAAACGGGGTATTCCGAGAGACAGTTACGGCCCATACGACTGATTCCGTCAAAATTAACGTCTATCTCTCGCTTCCGCGGGATAAACATTTGAACGGAGGAAGCGTTGCACAGTATGTGGGAAGCACTGCCGTACAATTGCAACCATATATTAGGCATTCCCGAATGTTCGTTTGTTCAGTTTTCAAAACTTTAATGGAGGACTGTTTTAACATATTTTTCAAGCGTAGTCTGAAATGGAAGTCACCAGGTTGAAACGATTGCAGTAAAGCTCGAGAAAGCTGCTTTCTAATTGGCTGATGTTGACATCTTGTTAGTCGTCTCAGTGGGCGGTCAAGGTTCACGAAAGGTCGTTCTGACATGACCTATAATTGGATGTCCTCAGATCCTTGTTAAGCAGCAGCGAGAACTTCAATCTGATTTTCATGAGATTGGTCTTGGATTTTTATCACTTTGGTGAAACCCACAAGCACGGGTATTATGCTGACAAACCTAGAAACATAATATGGGCGTCTGCACAATGAATTGTGGCACCTCAACCATGTTTAACATTGCCAAAACAGATATGTTATTTTTTACAGTCCAAAAAGGAGACTCAAACGACCTTAGGTTTCTACCATGCCTAAGGGACACAACTCTGCACAGCAATTTGTGGCACAACATGTTTAACACTGCTAAAACAGCCATGTTATTTCTGCTGCCAAAATATAAATTTTCAATACATAGTTTGCACATCTTCAATAAAACCAATACAATCACGAAACGAAAGCGATGAAAATTGTTTCCTACCCTATTCCATGTATAACTGATGTCATAAATTACAAAATATCAAAAAAGATCCAAAACAAAAATAAGCAATTGGAGTCGTCTTAAAAGAGCATGATTAGGGAGCCCCACAAAAAGCAGTATTTCATTTTAAGCAATCAGCTATATCAACAAAAACAGGTGTTTTACTCAACATGCATTTTTACCCACATCCTTGCAATGCAAATGTCCTGTGTTAAATTCAAGTAGATCCCTATTTTAATCATATTTGTATTTTGGCACAATAGAGTGATATTTCTATAGAATTGAGTAAAGAAATATACAATTTTAGGTGTGCTTGCTACAGCTGAAAGACATATTACTGGACTGAGCATGCTGAGTGAAATATTTGACTTTGCAGCATAAAAAATATGTGTTTTTATCATCACCAACTACATGTAGTCATAAAAAGTGTGTTGGGGGTGTGTGTGGGGTGTGGTGGTGGTGGGGGGGTTATTCACATCATAAATCTGTTTCCAAAGTTGCAACCTATGCTGATACCATGTAATTATCTTCTGACAATGGCCATCTAAATAATTACCGGTATACTTCTTTGCATAATTCTTAATACATTCGATACAATTGTGAGTTAATCTTGTGGGGCTGGGAAATCGAAATAAATAAAAAATAGACATATATATATATACCAATTTTTTTTTTAAATGTTGAGAAAACAATGTTTTTAAATCAGCTAAATCAGCCTTAGTGGAAGTTATTTTTACACAGGCTGGTCTCAATATTTCTAAGGTGATTTTTGCATGAATTGTCCCGAAAAAACAAACTGATGTTGTGAATATCAACATGGTTGAAAAAACCATGAAATTGAAATAATGCCAATTTCTAAACAATTAAAATGATTCCACCTTATGACCTACAGCTGTTGCTAACCTTTTCACTCAAATATTACCTTTAACCATGTTAGCACAGCCCAGCCATGCATGTAACACAAACCATTCTGGTACAAGGTTAATTAACAACATTCAAACTGGAAACACTGGTATGATCTACATATAGTCACCATAGGAAGATGGTCTTCAGATACAGCTGACTGATAACTAGCATGCATGAGGAGCTTCACTAGCAAAAAATTGATGACGTTCTCAAATGTCAATATAATCTATATATATGCAGATGCTTAACATTAGCTCAGCGGGATTTTTAGAACTGGCCATTTTCTATTCTACTCCAATTTATGCAGGACACACATACATGCATAAAGTATCCAATTGAAAGAGAAATTAGTGCAGCAGTAATGATAAATACTTAGTTTGATCAGATGTTAAGTATACCGTAACAATATATGATGAGTTGAATGGGACATATTCATACAGTGACACATATGACTTGCACCACAGCAGCAAGGAAATCAGCTTGGGATATGGAAGCAGACAAAAAGGATATAGAGATGGATTTACAATACTTACTTGTGTGCTGCCCCTGAGGAAGGGGTGGCCCGGGTGGGCCAGGTGGCCTCAGAGGTGGGCCTGACCCTGGTGGTGCACCCATCCCCTGAGAACCCAATACGGTCGGTGGGGGTTGACCTAGACCTGGGGGTCGCATGGTTGGAGGTCCTTGCCCTGCAGACACATTTGGGGGAGGTTGACCTGGTCCTGGGGGGCGCATGGTTGGAGGTCCTTGCCCTGCAGACACAACAGGGGGAGGTTGACCTGGTCCTGGAGGCCGTATAGTTGGAGGTCCTTGCCCTGCAGACACAATAGGGGGAGGTTGACCTGGTCCCGAGGGCCTCATGGATGGGTGGCCTTGACCAGCAGACACAGGTGGCAGACTAGGTCCTGGGGGCCTCACAGAAGGAGGACCCTGTAGAGGAGGACCACCATGGGTTGGAGGCCCTGGGGGTCTAAAATTAGGTGCAGGTCCTCCCATAGGTGGTCCTCCAGGCTGTATAGGAGGTCCTGTGTACTGCTGACCCTGTGAAGATGGGGGAAGACCGCCCTGAACAGACTGATACCCATTGACTGTAGTCTGGCTTGTTGGTCCATTTAACATTTGCCCTGTTTGTGAAACTTGAGGATTGAAAGGTCCGCGTATTTGTGGGGATGACACATTAACATTTCCTGGACCAGCAGATGATGCTGCAGAACCCATCATTCCCGAGGGCGGGCCTGGAGTCCTTGTTACACCACTTCCTGGGGGTTGCATAGATGGTGGGCTTGAAAAGCCATTAACCGGAGGTCTTGGTCCACCTTGTGGAGGCATGTTGCCATGTAAGGGAGGAGGCATGCCTGAAAATGGTGGTCCTGAAGGAGCCCCTGTCATCGGAGGTAAAGGAGGCTGTGGTCCACCACTAAACTGCCCAGGTGGACCTTGGGGCATGCCCATTTTTGGTGGCATGCCTGGAGCTGAAAACAAAAATTTCTTACTGATAATACCTTTTAAATAAAACATTTCAAATGCAACAATTCAATATGAGATTTGCAAAAATTTCAATCCCAAGATATGAACTGCCAAGGTAGACCTTGGGGAATGCCCATTCTGAATGGCTTACCTCATAACCTGGAGCTGAAAATATATGTAAATTTTGTACTGGAATATGATAATAGCTTTTAAATCAAATATGTCAAAAGCAAGAATTACAATGACAATAAAAGTCACTTATTTTGGCATTTCTTTCTGATTATGCATGCATTCTTTTTGACATTAATGGGGAAAGATAAACCTTCAGTCAACTTCAGTGTATGCATAATTAGATCGTTTTATATGTGTATCTAAATCGTTTTTGCCAGGGATCCGGAAAATTAATTTCCAGTCAGAAATTCTGTACCCACCTCCAGACCCACAGTGGGTATCAGGGTAGGGTAATAGGGGGTCGAATACCGGGGTGGTAAATTTGGACTCATCCCAGGCCTAGTCCATGTAGTCGTAAAGTACAATAAAGTAGCAATCTTTCAAATCTCTTATTCCATCTTTCAAGCAGTAAACTCCCAGCAAAATAAAATGCTAAAACATTCAAACGTAATGTTACATATAGGAAGTCTGGCACCACTGATTGGCCATCATTACAGTAGGATTCCCTGGAAGTTTGTTTAGTTTGTTTAATGTCGCACTCAGCCATATTCCAGCTATATTACGGTCTGTAAATAATTGATTCTGGATCAGACAATCCAGGGATCGATATTGTTAGAAATGATCCACACGGTTGGGGAACACTGACACCCCATCAACCAAGTCTGACCATCCAGTTCACAAAGTCACCTCTTACGACCACCATGTGCCGCTAGGGACCAATTCTAATCTTGCGTCATCACAGGTTTCACAGAAGTACTACATATAAAATCTAAGAGATGCAGCCGTTTGGTTGACTTGATATGATTGGACAGAGACAAAAAATTGGTGATGATATTTGCTGGTACTGTGTTCATTATGCCAATGATGACGTGATGGAATGATGGATGAGGGTCAATTTGGGAGAACATCTTAAATTCACAGGCATGAGTACATGAGGAAATGTTGTTTTACATGCATAATTAGCAATATTATAATGTAACCATTCCTCCAGTGTTAGGTTACTTTTATTTGTATTACAGATGCAACTGGAAATTAATACAAAATATACAGCAGATACAACCTGTGTATGTAAAATGCACTTATGTATTCACCAATCTGGAGACTCTAACCATTTACTTCATTAAGGACAGGTATCCCAAGAAAATCAAAAGTTTAATGTTAAAGTTTAAATGTTTCTTTTTGCTGAAAGACATAAAAACAGTGAGAACTTATCATGCATATATAAACATTGATTTTTGTAATATTTCTTTGTTTCTTCTAACAAGACGGGGCGATCGGGTAGCCTAGTGGTTAAAGCTTTCGCCGAAAACCCTGGTTCAATTCCCGACATGGGTACAATGTGTGAAGCCCATTTCTGGTGTCCCCCGCCGTGATATTGCTAGAATATTGCTAAAAGCGGCGTAAAACCATACTCACTCACTCTTCTAACAAGACAAGGACAATGATACTGTATCCACAGTCTAGGGAATAGACCATCTACCCAGAGAGAGGAGTGTACGCATCATACCAAAAACTGTTAAACATGATGACAGATGGTATTACTTGCAACCTGTTTAGCACTCAGCATTAGATAAAACAAGGACAGACCATCCGAGAGTTAGTACAATGTGTCTGTGTGTGGTGGCCATGTTAAATAGGATCATGGCATCTCAGTGGACTAGCACTATAAAACTGGGATAAGGCCAGACTAGTACAAGCTACAAGCTGCTACACACACATGTGCAGGTAAGACTTCAGCCCATTTCACCACCCCCATCCCTCCCCACTTCATAAATATATATAATTAAAAGGATTGAGCAGCAATGTATACTGGCTAGCGACCAGTTATTGCAGAGGATCAATCAACGCCAACTCCCGGTTATAGCGAGCATGTGATGACATCTTGTCTTACTTTTGCTCGGTTTCAATAGAAGAGAGAAATATTTATCCAAAAATGACAAACAAAACTGACTCTTGTGAAGAAATATTTTAAAACAACCCATATAATCACCTTGCTCAAACATAACTTTAGAAGAAACACGCAGGCGGTGTCACATGACTAATTCATGCATAAAGATAATCCAACAACAGGATGATGCACATGATGCATACTCAGCATGATTCAGTTCTGTCACAGCTTACTATCTGTCTGTCATTTCTTCGCCAAATTACTATTCTAAAGCCCTTTTGAGCTATTTTATTTTCAAAAATGCATAACCATGTATTTATCGTGAAATCCATAGTACATAGTGTTGAGGATAAGCATGTGTAAATTTAATTTGGGGAATATTGGTGTACATCAATTTGCAGACGACAAATCGATAAAAGCATTTGTTATTAATTGTAATTAATATAAAAATTGAGTGCAATACCAGAGAAAACAGAAAATGTTTTTTTCATCTCATCATCAACACTAATTACCAAAGCTTTTTAGTCTCTTAGTCTTACTCCCAGCAGGTCATCTTAGTTTCACAAAAGATATGTGTTTACCATGTCTACTGGATTTTTTTTACTATTCTGCATTTGTGTGAGATGTGCATGGGGTGTGACCAACAAACATGTATGGTCTATGTCTATTTTATCCTTGACCACTTCTTCTTCTAGGCCTCTACAGCATGACCATATTGATATGATTTTCATCAAACGTGAAACGTGTCGTGACTGACAAAATGTTAGATGAAACGAGATCAGATATCATCATGCCGTTCAATGACCAAATACAGCATATGGATAATAGTATCATTGTTATTAACTTGTGTTACAGTATCTACTGAGACTTCTTAACACATACCTTACGTCTTAAGATACGGATTGACAATAATAATATGTTTGACAGGTGTCTTGTAGTAAATTACAATTGGACTGCTCCTGTCATGTCAACACGGCAAACGGAAGGACTCTTCCGAGTCTTTACCAAATGAACCACACACTTTCATAAATATATCCGGTACCTGCATGCTGCTGGTTCGTAGGAAATCCTGGATTTGGGACAGGTTGGGGTCCAGGAGGTCTATTTGGCTGGAAATTGGTTCCAAAAGCGAGTCGAGGATCCGCCATGTTACGTGATTCACCACAAGTATTAGACTACACTCACATTGATCAGACACTCATCTAGTTATAAACCGGTTGAATTTCAATTCATCGAGTTCATATACTGTATAAAACAGCCACGCTGGTCTTTAGAATTATGTATATGCTACACAGGAAACATTTCGTTGGCTTTGTTACTATCTCGCCGAACAGGCTGTTTTCCGGAAGTCGTACAATCGCCGCATGCGCAGATCAATTCTACGTGGCAGAACATTGAAGGGGACATAATCATAAGTTCCACATCTTACTCTTTTGCGTTGTTTTAGTGTTATAAAACATTTATAGTCAGCAGATAACACGTGGAATTCCCCAAAGCTTAACGACTAGTGTTGTTATCACAATACAACAAATATGGCTAGTTCTTCTACAATTCAATACTACTATATGTATAGGCCCACATAAGTAGCCAAACAAACCCAATGGTCTTCACATAAATCTTCCGCATATATAGTTTTATAGATTTTCTAGCAAATAAAGCCCTCACACCATTTCAATTTTAAAAGCCAACCACAAACAAGTTAGATAGTCTCAATAAAATTAAAATACATAGATAAATATATTTATGAATAATAAAACATTTGGCGTCTCACATTGAGCAGTGTAGCATAATCCTCTTACCACATTTATCATGAATTCAAAGTACAAATTCTGGAGCAAAGTCAACAGGTCTAAATAATGTTTGTGTTTGCCCTCGTGCGGTAAAAGAAGTATTACACAAACAATTTACAACATCGGTTCCATTTATGTTTGGTAAAGAGAAAATACCATGGTAACTGGTGACACCGTCCCTTATGATTCTCTTACGATCAATCTAAAATATTTTCACGTCAAATCATTGATATGAAATAAATGTTATTGTTAAATGAAAATATCTACCATCGTTCTATTTTGCTTTTATTGAATACTAACTTGCACGGGCATTACAAGAAGTGCATAATTTAAAAAATGATACATTATTTAGAAATGAATTCCATGAATGATATAACAGAAGGGTTTACGTCCGTGTCACAAGTCAATACGATGATACCCTGGTATGACGCCCACACATCAATACTTAATAATTCCAACGTCCTACTATAAGTTATATTCAGACAGCATTCCCAGTACATGATATACATAGTCTATGTCATTTCCACGTCAGCTGTCGGTACGTCAGCCTACGTGTCAATGGCCAACTCACTGGCGTATGTACAGAGTGTGTATATGTGGTGTCTCGCTCTGCGTGTATGTACATCGACGTTGTAGCCTGTGATCGATTGCTCCATCGTGTCATAACCATAGCCCTACGGTAGTGCGGTACACATAATATTTGGAAAGTAAATGATAGACGAGTTTCGATTATCTATGTAAATATATGATACAATGTATGTAGATATAATTACAAAGATGTTGCCTGACCCTCGTGGCTGCACTGCTTGTGACTTGCTGCAGCGATTCTCAGTGAATCGTAAGATGAATTGAGGCCATGTTGTTTTAAATAAATCTTAGATGCTATATTCAAGATTCTTTATTCAATATCTAATTTTTTGAATACTGATAATTCTTCTTTGCGTATGCTCGTGCATGCAAATAAGCCTAGCGTGTGAATAGCGAGTGAGTATGGTTTTACGCCGCCTTAGCACTATTCCAGCAATATCACGGCCGGTACACCAGAACTATGTGTTTAGGTACGTAGTCATTATATACCTACACAAATAGAACGACAGTAATATATTGAATACAGGTAAATATATATGAACATGGAATATAACGATATGTCTTTCACCTGTGTGAAAAGAAGCAGGTGTGATGATAAAATATTACAGGTAAATAATATTATTGGATAATCTAAACAGTTCTTAGAACAGGTGTCTCCGAGGAACGTCCGATTCTATACAGAGTAGGGGCGGTGGGGTAGCCCAGTGGTGAACGTGTTCGCTCATCACTCCACTGTTCGAAACCCAATACGGGTAAATTGTGAGAAGCACATATATAGAAACACACACACACACACACACACACACACACACACACACACACACACACACACCCCACACACACACACACACCCATCCCCACACACACCGTGACATAGCTGGGATATTGCTAAAAGCGGCGTAAAATCATACCCACTCACTATACAGATTTTGTTGGGTATAGCCAAGCGGTGAAATGTTCTTTAGTTACGCCGGTAGGTATTTGAGTGAGTGAGTTGGGTTTAACACCGCTTTTAACGGTATTCTAGTTATATCACGGCGTGTAAGTCTTATGGGGGAGGAAAGCCCAGTGATGCAGGTCTCAGACGTTTACCACTTTGGTGAAACCCACGAGCACGGGTATGGTGCTGAGAAATCTAGAAACATAATCGGGGCGAATCGGGATTCGAACACACAATCATAGGTTTCTGGCGACCCTTCACAACCCTTCAAATCATTGATGCATGTAGTTATCTTTATGCATTTTTACATATACGGGTGACACTGCCTGTTCTTTGAATCTCTGTATGAAAGTACGAGAAAATACTTCAGCAAGAAAAGTATGTAGTCTTTGTTTGATGATTGATGCCGTTTTTGTGGATATATATCAGACAACCCTTGGTGTCATTGTATATGAAGCACCTGTTAAGAAAATATTAGGAATACACCGAATTTCAATTTAGTGAGTGATTGAGAATGATTCTACGCCGCCTTTAGCAATATTCCAACCAGAAATGGGTTTCACACATTGTACACATGTGGGGAATCGAACCGGGTCCTTTGACGTGACCAGCAAACGCTTTAACCACAAGGCCATCCCACCTTTTCTTGTTGTTGAACTACTCGAATATATTGTCAAGTGTTTTAATGTATTTCGTCCATGGATCTAAAAAACAATCATGCTCCTTGTTTCTTTTTATCATGGACACTTACCCATATTTCGCTTCTATGTTCTTAATAAGAATTTGGTACATGTCAATATATATCTGGGACAATATATTTAGCAATCAAAGAAAACTCTCTTTCAGTTGCATATATATATATTAGAATATTAGAATATTAGTATTATCACGTGACATAGTGGAAGTAGGTAATCCCAATTCTTCCATTCAGAAAACGCGTGGTTTCAAAGTCCATCAGAGCGATAGCAAGTTCAGATATATTCATCAGTAAATGGAATTTTTGCTTGTGGTCTGCCACTGACCGAAAGGGAGGTAACTCTCAACCATCGTCCGCCATCACAGAGTTTTTGACAGTATTTTTCAGGTTTCAGGAACTGCTAACGAAATGAGATAAAGAAGTTCACTATGGAACTGCAAGATGTGTTTTATTCGAATGCCGAATATATTGAAACGGTGGGTTGTTACAAAAACGTTCACATGTGAGTTGCAGATGCAGGCTTCGGGGTTAATTTCAAATACGATCAGTGAAATCATAAACATGTTCTTGTTTTTCCATCATTATTTATTAATGACCAAATAAAGAATATGTCCTCTTCAACAGATCTACCTGTAAGTCTAAGAATTGTCAAGTTCTATTTTGGCCTCACTATTTTTCATTTTTAAATCTCAAAACAATTTGGCATTTTAGTATCACATTGATTTTGTTATCTGTTCCTAAAGGACGTGTCACAAGGATACTTTAACCTCAGTTGTATCCTAGAAATGCTCAGCATGATTTATACAGTATTTCGAATCATTTATTTTGATGTAAATGTTGTGGGTTAATATTTCTTGAGGGGCACGGGTGACCCAGTCGTCTCAGGCGCTGCGATTCGCTGAACAGGGTTGTGTCCCTTGGACGCGCCAGAAACCTATGATTGTGGGTTCGAATTCCGGTTCGCCCTGATTATTTTTCTAGGTTTGTCAGCACCATACCCGTTCTCGTGGGTTTCACCGAAGTGGTAAACGTCTGAGACCTGCATCACTTTGGGCTTTCCTTCCACATTAAGCTGACACGCCGCGATATAACTGTAATACTCGGCGTTAAACCCAACTCACTCACTCACTAATATTTCTTGTCTCCCTTGCCATAATATTTCTGGAATATTGCTAATAGTAATAGTGGCAACTGCTTATATTTCCATTGGTATTGTGTTCAATGATGTAATGACATTTTATATACATGACAGAAGCAAGTGATTTTACTAAAGCCCTTGTAAGCTACGTAGAACCCAGGACATTTGTATATCATAGGCTTGAGTCCCCTTGATAGGGACAAAACAGATTTTAATAATTTGGAAAATTCAACCACGTCAATTTTAAATGATCGTAAATGATTGTAAATGATTGTAATGGTGACATCAGCCAGAAGTTGTTTACATTATTTGTGGCGTATGACATGTCTGGTGATCAAACCACCGACCTGCCACTCGCCGGGCAGACACTCTCTGGGCAGACACTCTATCCACTACAGAAACGGAGATGGTAAAGATGGTTCCTTGTTCCGTGTTGTTGGTACCTTGCCTTGCACTCATCATTAAGGGTGTAAAACAAGGACTGGTCAATACTGTGTCTGAGTGGGGTATCCATGCTGCAGGCATGGTATCTCGGTTGGCTAGCACTATAAAACTGGCAGTAGTTGGCACTAGTAGTAGTACTACTACTAGTACCTATATAAGTGCAATAATCTTGAATGTGATGTCAAACCCCATTTCACCTCACCCCACATACAATATCTGTTATCTTTCTTCACATGCTATTTGCAGGCTTCCGGAAACAAAGTCAGTCGGCAGTCGGTGCTCTGTGGCAGTCAGAACATTGTCATAAATGGAAAGGTAGGCATGGGTAGGATGTCTTCTGAACCAAACAACTATTACTAGACAATTCAGGGTACCGTATTCAACGTAATAAGCGCCCCACTCTAATAAGCGCCCACAGCGATATTTGCTAATATATTGGCTTGTGAACAATCCCAATTAGCACCCCTTCCAATTGATCAATGTACACAAGACTTATTTGTTCATGTATAATACGCACTTGTGTATTATATTCACCCTTAATTATGGGCAGTTAAATTCTGGAAAATATATCAGTCGTATATGATATGCACATACTTTTCTTTTGTATCATTTCAGTATCAGCATAAACTACGAAATTTACAATCTTTCCACTCTGTTTTTTTTCTCCTCCAAAATAATATTCTAATAAGGCCCCCCCCCCCCCCCCCATGTCTAATTTTGAGAGCAACCCGGGCACTTATTACATCAAATACAGTGATTATTTTTCATGGTTGTAGTGCTCTTGACTGAGCAAACCTTTTTGGATTTCAATGTGGAGGGTCGAAGCCATGTTGCCAGCTTGAAGTTAAGCTAAGCTTATGAGTTATCGGTAATCTATTAAATGAGCCAACACTTTACCATGGGACCACTGGTGCTATCACAAGTTATTTGTGCTCGTTTATAAAGACATCAGCACCCAATTGTTTACCATGATGTGCTTGCACAGTAACCATTTGCTCAGAGAAACTCAAAACTTCATAAATCTTTTCGGAGTTTCCTCGCATTACTTTGCATTAATTCGATAAAACATTGTTAAAAGAGATAGCTAACCCATAACCTAACTCATAAACCTGAGGATCGTAAAGGGTGTTTGATTGGCAAGTCGTGCTATTTGATCGGAAAGGGTTACCTAAACCTAATGATCGGAAAGGTTTTGGTTTGTTGTTTAACGCCACACTCAGCAATATTCCAGCTATATGACGGTCTGTAAATAATCGTGTCAGACAATCCAGTGATTGACATCATGAGCATCGATCCACGCAATTGGGACACGATGCCATGCATCAACCAAGTCAGCGAGCCTGACCACCCGATCCCGTTTGTCGCCTCTTATGACAAGCATAGTCGCCTTTTACGGCAATCATTGGTTGCTGAAGACCTATTTTACCCCGGATCTTCACGGGTCGATCGGACCATGGGCTAAAGATAGATCCATGGGCTAAAGATAGAGTTGGAGGTAACCTATCCTAACCCTGAGAAAACTATCCCTAAGGATCGAAGAGGCATGTGATGCGAGAGAAGCACCAGAAGTACTATATAAGCTATGCCTTGTAAACTGCATTGTTACCAATTTCTTTAATGCTTAAAGGTCAAAGACTTCGGTCGCTTGGCAGTCTGAGCCTTTGCTCCCCCAGACATGTTATTCTCATAAATCAAGATGAAGATGAAGCATATAACATGTCATCCTCCCGAGGCAAAAGAGTTAACTGACTATAAGAGTCCAGTTTCCACCCTTGCCGAACTAGGCTGGTATTATGGAGTTACATTTTGGCTGGACTAACGAGTCTATGCATAGTCCAATCAGAATCGCGCAACCAAATCGAAATCCATTTCATAAACTGTCGTAAAGATTTTGGTCGACTGCAGGATTTGCAAAGCATGTGCACCGCCAACTCGTTGTCAACAGAAATTTTCCAAATCATTTCATGTTTATAATCAAGGTGCTCACGTGAGTTGATGCATTTTGCGATGTAAGACCCGTTTTATCACAATATAGATCTTGATCATTGATCAGATTGTCCTGACTGGGTGCCGCCATTTTGTTTGAAGCAACTGCAAGTGATACAAGAGGTGGAATCTGATTGGTCCATAGGAGAGGCTTAGAAGGGACATAACTCGTAATAGCCACTGGTGGCGCTATGATTGAGCCCAGGAATTCCAGCCTAGGTTGGCAAGGGTGGAAACTGGACTTTTAAAGTCAGTTAACTCTCTTGCCTCGGAAAGATAATAACATGTATAATTCTGAGGTTGTTTGTATATCAGTTGTTTCCATTCTATTTCGTATTACCTTGATTACTACTAATCTCATTAAAATCAGATCTCAGTTCTTGCTGCAACAAAGCAAAGATCTGAGGATGTCCCATTACAGGTCACATCAGGGAGACCTTTCTTCTGACCAATCAAAGCATTGCTTACCATATTAGGAAGGTGACAATTGGAATGTGTTTTCTAATCATGCAACCATCGAAAAGGTTAACACGGGGAATTCCAAACTACCATTAAAGGCTTTACGACTGAATCTGTTCAAATCGTCATCTATCTCTCCCTTCAGTGGGATGAACATTTGAATGGAAGAAACTTTGCCTAGCCTGTGGGAAGTACTGCTGTACAATCTAAGCCATCTATTAGACATGAATGTTCTTTTGTTCAGTTTTCAATATTTTTGACAGCGTAGTTGCCCATTTGAAACCTAATTCATTGGTTGGTCAAAGTTCATGAGAGGTTGCTCTGACGTGACCAGTAATGATGTCCTTAGATCTTTGTTTTGCGGCAGCGAGAACTAAGATCTGATTTTAATCAGATTGTATCACTGTTTATATACTTGTACAGAAATAGTAATATCTGTTGTGAACATTCCCCAATGGGGACCGTGGATAGAATGTGTCTCCCAGCACTCCATTGCTAGTTATAAGAGGCAACTAAATGGGTTTCTGGGGTAGAATTGGTCCCCAGCAATCTGTTTTGTAAAAGGTGAATTAATTGTTCTTATTATCAGGCTTGGCTTGGTCAGTGGTGTGTCAATGTGCCCTGATTACTGCCCGTTATTTCAATCACTTGATTGTGTAGTTAGATTATTTACAAGCTGCTGTCATATAACTGGAATATTGCTGAGTGCGACATTAAACACCAAACACGTGTGCATATTATTACCATTCAGACATAGAAGAGTCTTTATTGTAATGTGGACGGTATACCAGGTAGGGCTGGCTGAAAGGATTGATCATCAACATTATCATCAATGGGAAGAAATAGTAACGATTATCGACATGAAATTGTTGTCATCGATAATAACTTATTGTTAACTTTTTGTGGTGAAATAAGTTTAGATTTACCAAAACAGACTAGTTATTGTCAATCATATCAATTGTCGAAGATGGAAAGCAACTTCTTTTTATATATCTCAAATGTCCACAAAGTAGTCCATACAGAAATGTGTCACAGCTCACCAGTTGATTTCTTTCGGAATTTACATGCATATTTGCTTGAGATTACTTCTCAGATATTTATCAATAATTGATCGATATTTAGTTAGCGATTATCGGTCTCTATGATCTATATCAATAGCCAGCCATAGTACCAGATATTTCAAAACTCATTGCACATTGCAATATCTGTTGTAGACAATCATAATGACGGACTGTGTGATACGAGGGGACCTGGCCAATGTCAGGATAGGTCGCCATTGTGTCATCAACAAAGGTGCTGTTATCAGGCCAGCATTTAAGAAGTTCAGCAAAGGGTGAGTACTCATTTGGTAGGTTTCTACTCCCTCATGTCACCAGTGTACGAAATTAAGCATGAAAGTTGATGCATCCTTGTCTTAACCCTAATGTTAAAAGTAAAGGCTTAGGGGTCTCTTGATCCCAGTACTATGCCAGCAAACCTCAAGGACCCAAGAACCCCACCTTAATTTCGATCACTGTGGTAGTATTTGCTATTTTTGATATAAGATTGCTTGTTTGAGTGGCTTGACCATGTTGATATACCAATTTGCTTCATTTCAAATTTTATTTTATTTTTCTCTTAATTACTCTCCACAAGTAATGGCATGGACATGATGGAAAGAAAGTAATCCGTGGATAAGCCAGGTTTATTTGAAAATTGGATTAAAAGCAAGTTTTATTATTCCCCTGAATTTAGAAACAGAAATTAGTCAAATGTTTTTAAATACCCACTTCATATACTGTCGCTCTTATCTTTTATCTGTCACAAAGAATATTTGGAATTGAAATTTATCATATATGTTTTTTACCTTCTGACTTGAATGAAGGGCAAAAAGTCTGCAACCCGAGGATCTTTCTTTGTTTTACATACTGAGGGCTCGCTCATATTGGTTGCAATTTTAAATGTGATCTGTGCTGAACTTGCCCTTCAGACAAGTCAGAGGAGGCATTTTGATTGGTTGTTCATTCAAGCCCATAAGTGAACGATTCTGTGATAATTTTGTGATAAGACGAAAAAGAGATGGAACTAGTGACATAATTCTGAAATGAATGTGTCCAGGGCATTGACACAGTAGAATGGAGATTTAATGCACTGGACATACATGTACTGGATAAACAAGCTGAATATTCAACTTTTCTGTGATGTTTGTTTCAGTGTGGCGTTCTTCCCCTTGCATATAGGTGATCATGTGTTGATTGAAGAAGACTCCATCATCAATGCGGCACAGGTCGGGTCCTATGTTCATATAGGCAAGAACTGCATCATTGTAAGTATAATATTCCATAACATATCGGTTTGAAAGTATTGAACATTAAAGCTTTGATTTGTGTAAATCAGAATCCATATTTTGATGTGACTGTAAATATCAATTATTATTGTTGCTGTTATTTGTTGTTGTTGTTGTTGTTGTTATTGGCAGGTTGAATGTATCTGTAATTTGGCACTCTGGGTTGAGTACACAATATCTGTTTTACTCCAATCTGTTCCAATATGATTCTTTTCTGTGTGAAGATCTGAGGACACCTCCATAGAAGGTCTTGTCAGGTGAACCCTGATCAAACTGTGAAGATCCTGGTTAGAATTGGTCTTCAGCAACCCATGCTTGTCATAAGATGTGACTAACAGCATCGGGTGGTCAGACTTGCTAACTAGGTTAATACATGTCGTCGTATCCCAATTGCGTGGATCAATGCTCATGATATCAATTTCTGGATTGTCTGGTGCAGACTCATTGAGAGACCACAGTCATATAGCTGGAATATTGCTGAGTGCAGCTTTAAACAACAACATGCATGTGTTCTTGAGACAATCACAGGTTAGCCTTCTGAAACAGTTTAGCTTCAATTCTTTACCACCTTGATTCAAAATGTTCATCATAGCAAAAGAAAGCTGCCACTGACCACTGAAATACTTGCAACCAGTGTTATACATGGCATTTAAAAACAACAGGATGTACAACATAGCAACAACAGTATTGTTTTTTGTGTTTGAATACAGAATTCAGGATACAGATGTCAGATATGCTTGTCTGAATGCTTCTCTCACGCATAAAGAGAATTTAGACACATCAACACTCATTGGATGATTGGAATTCCACCTGACATGACCTCCAATTGAGGGTGTCCCCGTCATCTAAGGCGACGCCATTCCCTGTGCAGAGTTGTGTCCCTTTGGGCACGCCAGAAACCTATGATTGTGGGTTCGAATCCCAGTTCCCCCCTATTATGTTTCTAGGTTTTTCAGCACCATACCGGTACTCGTGGGTTTCACCGAAGTGGTAAACGTCTGTGACCTGAATCACTTCGGGCTTTCCTCCCACATTAAGCTGACACGCCGTGATATAACTGGAATATTGTTAAAAGTGTCATTAAACCCAAGTCTCTCACTCACTCCAATTGAGGTGTCCTGAGATCTGAGTTTAACGACAGCGTACTCGCCCATGTGACCAGACAGAGACGTGTCAGTTAGAACTTCATTAGGGACATGGGCAAGGTGACAGAAGCTGAACAGAAGTTAAATTTAAGATAGATGTTAGTGGTTTGGTCTTATCATTCAGAAAGTACTTCTGCATGATTGAACTCATCATAATGGATATTTTCCAAAGACCTCCAACTAGCCCTTTGAAACTCTCACTTGCCTGGGTTTAGCAGGACAGCATTAATTTCTGTAGATGCAAAGTTGCTTAGAAAAACAGATGCTTAAAAAACATTCGTAGATATCTCTCTAATCACATGAACAACTGTAAAACATCTCATTCACTTATAAAAGACAACTGTCTCTTAAAAACAAGCCATTATCTGAGTATTTACAATGTCTGTGTGATGTTACACCCCTTGTTATAGCGCGAGTAATTGTGATAAACATGACTGTCCGAAAATGTATGATGTCCAAAAACCTATGATCCGACGATACTATAGTTTGGTTTTCACATTATTCACATAAGATTTTGTACATATTTTCAGAAAAACATCAGGCAATGAAGAAATAAAACACCTGACCCAATGACATAATGGTTTGTTTGTACCAATACAGTGTTTAGACAGAGTAGTCACTTCCTGTGTTTTCATTCTGCAGGGTCGTCGATCTGTTCTCAAAGACTGCTGTGCCATAGCTGACAACACAGTGTTGCCGCCAGAGACAGTTGTCCCCCCTTTCACAGTCTTTGCAGGATCACCAGGTACAGTTACCTCCCTTTACCTGTACAACTGCCTGAAGGCTTCATGCAACCAGTGTTTGATGAATGAACTTCTATGGACACATTTTCTTTTTAATGAATAATAGTTATGCTTTCAGCTGCCATTCCATGAGCACACAGTTGCCTTTAAGCTAAATAAATCATAAAATATATATATATAGCTTCCCCTGGTCCATTTCCAACACAGGAAGCTGAACACAAAAAATGCAGTTCTGCACCAAATGGCATTTACTTGTGAAAAATATTGAAAATGGATGTAGACTTAGGAAACATGTAAATCTTGCACAGTATCATCCAATCATAGTTGATTAATTGTTCCCTGCACGCTCTATCTTCTCTACAAAAGCGACAGGCTGCACAACTAATTTAGTGTAGGGTATAGGGCTGGGACGGGTAACTCGGGTACCTGGGTCGGGTGGGTACTGAGTAGGACCCGGGTACCCACAGGACTACCCGGACCGGTGGTTAGTCACGTAATATATTGTTTAATGACAAAAATTATCTAGAACTCTATGGTTACACTACAAGTCACTAATGTTCACATTTCTTTCTGACTATGCACCCATCCCTTCTGATTTTTCATATGGTTGAATAAAGAAATAACTTAATTCAACTTCAGAGTATGAATGACCAGATTGTTTAATACGTGTCTCTAAATACGTTTTGCCAGGGCTATGATAAAAATGTTCCCAATCGGACATTTTGAGACATCTCTTGAGACCTACAGTGGGTACCCAGGTAGGGTCGGGTAATAGAGGGGTGGGTACCCGGGTAGTAAATTTGGACTCGTCCCAGCCCTAATATGCGGCAGGGATTGACATTGATCTATCTGTATCTGCTTGTGAGTCGCTGTAATCATTTGGGGGTCCCAAGCTTGATAATAAGGATCCAAGGGTGACCACTTCACCCCCATCTGTTTTGTTAGCCCTATTGAAAACTGAAAATTTAAATGCACCTCTTCGTTTCCAAAAAGCTGTTTCCACACTTTTTAGGCCTTGGCTGGCCTTGCTCCAAGACTGTACTCAATGATGAATCCACCTATTTATAACAATTCTATCCTTATATTAGGCAAGTCTAGATCTAACGACTTGTTTTTATAATTTATATCATCAAAGATTTATGATTGAATCTAATAATCATTTTCTTTGAGAGTTGTACAAGTCTAGGCCTTTGCCTAAGTCTTTACCTTAGTTATTGACGCCTCCAGCCTCAAACAAGACTCACCCCCTTGAAATGTTGTGTGGCAGGTAAATGCAGTGCGGAGCTGCCAGAGTGTACCCAGGACCTCATGGTGGACGTCACAGTCAACTACTACCAGCACTTCCGAGCGATGGGGAAGGGAAAAGCCTAGTTCCTGACACTCCTTCACACAGGGACTCAACATTCATCTATTTATTTATACATTGCTTGCATCAAGATTTCTTTGGTAACATTGGAGAAATGATCCCCATGTTGACATTTACCATGTTTTTTGTTGCTACAGAATGGTGTTTGGGCAGATGTTAATATGATATATTACTACTCAACTTTTGATGGGGTAATCAGTAAGGATGTCACAATACAGATGTCACGCGATATCTCCATACAGGAGCCAAGATACGATACGTATCTCAATACTGCATATTCAACATTTTGTGCGGAAAGCCCAGTCATTTGACTGAAAATAGAGTCCATAGACTCTCTCATAAAGGTAAAGAAGGACAACCGACTAATGACACTGAGTCAGGTATTTTGACAGGCAGCAAAGAAGAGCTGGTCAGTTTTGTTATCGGCCAGTTTCGTATCCGAAAAACGACCGAGAAAGTTATGAGAAATTATTAAAATAGTTTGTACTTGCTTATTGATATCAGTGGGAGATCAACATGGACAATCGATATCGGGTTAAATGTGAATCAATGCCAAATTAAATATATCTGGTACTGTATCGTGTAAGGTTTGCTGATGATGCACTGGTGTAACAGTGAATCACATCACTAATAATCAGATATGTCGTTCTATTTTAATATACACTAGACATATTATCAGAATCAGTGTATCATGGAGAGATTAAAATATGCCTATCAAAAGTGGAGTAGTATATTGATTATGAGTTTCCAAATATGACTTCATGCCTTTAAATAACATGTCATTTTTGCTTTTGTTTCGGTGCATGGATGGTCCAGAGTTGCGGCCCTTAGTAGTTCAAGGATCTGATGATCATTAATACACTCCCCGATTCGATTATGATCCTTTGTTTGTCAGCACCTACCAGTGTTTGTGGGTTTCACCAGAGTGGTAAGCGTTGCTAACCTACGCCACTTTGTGATTTCCTGCCATCCTGACATCCGTGATACAACTGAAGTACTGTCAGCAGTGATGTTAAGCCCAAATCACTCTCCCTGTAATGTTATATTTTTATTGTATGTAGAAGTACTTATTTCCCGGGCTCTGTGGTCTTGTGTTAAATACCTGTGCAATATATTCTCATTATTTACTTATGTAAAACGATATGGTTATAACAATTTTTTATTTTGGATCATTATTAAGTGCACCTTGATAACTTTAACATTTGAGCAGAGATTTCGGAAACTTAAGCGAGATTTGAAGCCTCTTTGTTTGTTGTAATGAAAGTTGTTTATTGATAATATCTAAGATTAAAGTGATGTGAAGTAACACGATGTTTAGTTGTAAATAGACAGATGCTACTTTAAAAAATTTCTCTGAATAAAACATATATGTTACTTCAAGACTGCTTTCCTTATTTTATTAAGAATGAACTAGGAATGCATATTAAGATGCATACCTGCTTCTCTTTACATGGGCTACTTGGTTGGATTTGGTCCCCTGCAACATATGCTGGTTTTAAGAGGTGACCAAATTGATCGGGTGGTCGGACTCAGTGACTTGGCTGACAGCGTGTCATCATACCCCAATGGTGTGGATCTTTGCTCACAATATCAATCACTGGATATCCAGTCCAGACCATTGGCTTATCATGCTGAAGAACCTGCTTTGTTTCCCTTACAAGGGTATTATATATACTGAGTCAAATTAAAAACTTCACATTTTTAAAAGTAATCCCATATATGATATACAACGGACAAATGTATCAGAGAAGGTAATTTTTAATCATTAATGTCGAAAGAAGGATTTTAATTTACGGTGGTAACCATAATTTGTTCCAAGCACCTACGGTATTCGGTAATAACATCAAAAGTTTAAATCATAAGTCCCAAGCACGAGAATCTGATGGCACACAAGTTCAGTAGCGTGTATGGCCACCATGTGCGTTGACAACTGCCACACAACGCCTCCAAGCATAAAATATGCAAGCAATATCCGGCCATACAGGCCTATGAGACACTAAGTTCATTAAAATATCAAGGAATTAAAATATATAATACTGAGCATATAATGCTCGCCCATGGTTATGTTATGATATACAGTATACAATATAATACAGCTCACTGTGACAAATGTACAATACACCCCATTCATATTATGACGCATATGACGCATATGACGCACTGACAACCTGGAATCTATACTGTTTGCGCATTGTAATAGATTCTCTCTCTTTCTCACTCTCACTCTCTCTCTCTCTCTCTCTCTCTCTCTCTCTCTCTCTCTCTATATATATATATATATATATTTATATAACTGAAAACTGATAAGTGTTTTCTCTCTGCGTTGAAACATCACTAACACCATCGCGGCTAGGGGTTTCTGTAGAGGTATGCACTGCATCAGTAAAATTAACTGATCGACGTTTGAGAACTGTGGGAAGAGTGGATCCAGTAGAGTAGCTTCCTTCCAAAGGTGATATCGAATATCTGAGTAAAATGGACATTTTGTCAGAAAGTGAACTTCGTCTTCTATTACTTTAGAGTTACTTCTTTGATACTATTGTCGTACTATCCTTGCTTAGTACTCCAACTTCTAAATGCCTATCAAAGAAGTTATCCATAAATTCTTATCCTTACTTACTTTAGAGTTGCAATATCTACACTGTCTTTCCTCGAGGGGAGTGGGTGGAAGTCTGAAACGACCTAGTTCAATCTCTAGTGGCAATGTACCTGGTTTTATAAAAAGACTGTTTTGTTTAACGCTCTCACAGCTAGAGGTAGAGGAAGGCAGTACAAGCAAAGTGTGTAGGTGAGCATAGACATACACAGCACAGGCTGTGGGCTATTGGGGATTACAAAGAAACAATGATAAATCTAAACTGGAGTAGTATACACCGAGGATGGAGATGGGATTGCGCACAAGAAGTATAGCAACAATAACAGTTGAGATTAGAAGACTGGAAACATCTTATGATATAAGAATTAAAAACAAAACAAATCCAAACAAACTGGTAAGGGCTACGCTGGCAATCTCGTTAAAATTAGATCTTTTACTATGATACGATAAAACTATCAAAGAAAGATCGGAGGCGTAAACCCTGAGCAAACTTTGAAGGATTCGTGGGTGCTTGACCCAATCAGATGTCAGCTTTCTAAAACGCTTCGGCTTTATGTCATCATTTCCATTGACGCCAAATAGAATCTGTTTCGTCAGATAATTGACATCAGTTGTACGGTCCTACTAAATAACGCCCGGGGGCGTCCGGAAACGTCTGGGAGCGTCCGGGCAATTCCAGGGAGCGTCCAGGAGAATGATACTAAATAATAAAGTGTATTCTATATAATTGTGTTCTTGTATTAATTATACAAAATAACATATAGCTGGAAAAAAATTACATACGCCCCTATTCTTTTCAAATGGTGAATCTGCGAAGCAAATACGATTTAATTTTATTCGAATTAACGAGGTATTCGTAACGTAGGCTTTGAAGGATACAATGTAAATTTGCTTATGGAACAAAAATAATGTTCTTTTATAGTGTCATATTCTGTATACTATTCAATAACTAATACTGAAACACAGACGTTTCAAAAGTTCATGCGTGGCCCCAGATGGTTCACTGAGTGTAAAACGTCCGGTACTATAGCGTAATTGTAAAGAAATTCATTCATGACCATGAAGAGAAGGAATGCAATACCCGAATATCTCTAGATCACGACCTTAAACATTTCAGGAAAGTCCATTCCACCAGAAAGCCCCACCCAGCCTGGTTCATAGCAAAAGCCCACCCAACATTAAGAAACAGTGTGCGTTCATTGTTCATTTATGTGCCCTCTGGAGACCTGGCGTGGTTCAAGGATGCTGCTTTCTCTGTGGTCTACACTACGACGACTTTCTAACACACGCCCTGTGTCATTGTGAGACTTTGAGCATGTATCGAGACATGCTGTGGTGTGACATCATCAACATTGGTCCTGTGGAACTCAGTGTCCATCTCCAAGATAGATCCGACACTGATCTTGTCTGCAGTCTCCTGTCCTGCCAGCCTCCTGTTTCCCTGTCCGATGAGGGTCAAGAACTGTTCCAAATATCTGTGATAACCAGACTATATGATACGTGCAACTTCTAAAGTGACTCTTAATCCATCATGTAAAATCTCTCCTTTTCCCTGTTAACTTATAACATGTTTTGTACTCTCCTATGGAGGAATAAAAGCATATATATGTCTTTCTCAGTTTGGTAAGATCGTGAGAATATCAACTGGCGCACGTGTTTGCCACGCGGCCAGAAACTTCCGGTTACTGGTACTTCCATTTTCTGGCCGCTGCACGTGGCAAACACGTACGCCAGTTGATATTCTCACGATCTTACCAAACTGAGAAAGACATGTTTTATTGACTGCACTGTATTTTAAACTCCCGGAAGTCTGATGAAACCTCCCGGACGTTTCCGGACGTCTGATGAAACCTCCCGGACGTTTCCGGACGTATGATGAAACCTCCCGGACGTTTCCGGACGTCGGATGAAACCTCCCGGACGTTTCCGGACGTCGGATGAAACCTCCCGGACGTTTCCGGACGTCTGATGAAACCTCCCGGACGTTTCCGGACGTATGATGAAACCTCCCAGACGTTCCCGGGCGTCCTCGGACGTTAAATAGTTGGACCCTCAGTTGTTCCTTTGCGTTGACATTTTATACTTACTCACACGATTTTAAATTTCGATCTTCACGAAACGTAAAACGTTACAGATCACAAATATACCCCACATTGTACACTCTTTTAGCGGCGACTTTATTTGCGAGTGATTTTAATGAGATTGCTACTTCAAAAAGCTACATTCCTTCAGGAGAAGTGTCAGGGATGACCAGTGGATCTTTGACAGCTTTGACAGCTCAGCTGGGGTCAAGTTTATGATGACCCGGATCAGTTAGACTAATATCCAGTCCAACTATAACACTCTGGTAAAACGTACCAACACAGTCGAAAAATAATCAAAGGGATTTGGTATGTTGTCTCACCATTTCACTACTGAATCAGCCATAGCATGCTCATGTACACTGGTGAATACAGACAGATACATATTGGAAACACACTACTTAGGCTGTGATCAACTTTGAAGAATATTTCAACAGTTCTTTGAAAGGCATTTAGAAGTGATACACATAAGGAAGAGAATATATTGATGTCAACTTCTTTATTATGAGGAACACACAACGTTTCGGAGTATATGCTTATTCCTTCATCAGGTGAATGAATGCCATGAGGCAGAGAGCATATATATGTACATGTAAGGACAACAAAATTAATAAGAAAACAAAAGGTGGAAAGGTGGAAAATAACAAAGGGTAGAAGCTAACAAAGGAAGCCAACTTTTAATTATTCTATTGTGTCTCATATCAGTGACAACTATTACACATATTTAAAATAGATCCGTCACAGTTACATGAGTTTGTGAAACAGACATGTGGCATCTACCGAAGAAACAGACCCGCCAGTCTGATAATGTTTTAATGTGACATTTACACGATATACGGCTTTTCCATTTGACGAGATGTCGGTCACATGACCGCGAAATTGACGTTCAAAAGTGTATGAACGACACAATTTGACGAAATTCTTGAAATGACGTACACACTGACAGACTACTTCCACATTCCTGGGGAAACCCCTGGGAATTCCCAAGCACGAATACACCAGAAGCGTTGTTTCTGATCATTTGGACCCTTTAGTTTTGAACTCATTAGGGGTGGTAGGGTAGCCCAGTGGTCAAAGCGTTCGCTTGTAACGCCGAAAATCCGGGTTCGCTTCCCCAGATGGGTACAATGTGTGAAGCCCATTTCTGGGGTGACCTCCAAAATAGAGATATATAAAATTATAAGAACTGAGTTTCACTTTGCGTAAGTTCATTGGAGCATGAACATCCATAGAGTGAGGTCCAAACATTGTATGTGCGTCGTCGCAAGTCCCAACGTTCATACACTGTAGCCCTCTTTCTATGAAGGTTCATACTCCAATGAACTCATACAAAGTGAAAGTCAGTTCTTAAATAAGCGAATCTAACTGTTTTAGATGTAAAATAAGTCTGTGTCAGCAGTCAGATGTCTGGTCAACAATTGGCCAAGTACACGTGAGGATCACATGCAAACAACCAACGCAGTAATTCCTCGTTTCTGGCCTGAACATACGGTTCCTGTCTGTTCCCTTCCTCCCAGTCAATGGTTGTCACATTCCTCACACGGATCACATCCTTCATTGCTGGGTAACAAGCACCATCAAGTCTCACAACCAGGACATTGAAGGCCGGCACATCCCTCCTTGCAAGCCCGTCCAGAATGATGTCCACCTGGTACCGCCATATCGGGTCCTCAACAGCACACACTGACACCACGATGGCAAACGTCTGACACATCCTCATCCCTGTCCTGATGCCCTCCAGTTCTGTCTGACCAGGATGTGTGTCTATGTGATGTATGTAGGTGGCATGACCTACCGTTTTGATGACTGGACGAATGTTGACCTCTGACCACCGGGTGTCCTCTTCACAGCACAAGATATATATGCGTGTTTGGATAAATGTACGTGTATGATTAAATGTACGTGTTTTCCTTGCTTTTATGTATAAAACAAGACGTATAAAGAATATAAAAATCAAGAAATACGAGGTCGTTAGAGAACCCGTTATTATGTATAAAACTGCCAAGAAAATACACACGCAATATTCAATAGCTTTACTGTAAAGCGAAACCTCTTGTATTGCCTGTTCATTCATTGTAGTATTGCCAGCCGCAGGTTGAGCCCAGCCTAATACATCAATCATCCAGTTCAGAAACGTTGATCGTGAAGGCTCTACGATGTAAGACTGGGCATGCTGTATTTCAATTAGCTCAAAAATACCCTTTTCACGATTGAAAACTCTCCGAAAATATGACACTGAATGTTTTCCGAATGCTTTAGGGCACATGCACATCTGATAAAAGGTATATACAAACTTATGATATGCATCATTATCTACATGTTCATAATATATAACACCTGTCCAGACTGTTTCTCTGAGGTAATAGCTCTTGTATAAACACAGCAGCAATGAACAACTCTCACTGGGATCACAAACAAGATCCATGGGTTGCCCATTCACTGTCCTGTCAACGTACATGTAGTCGTCTTCGAGGAAAGAGGCAAACGTAAATGTCGCACAAAACATTCCACCATAAGGTACCATAACTTTGTCCGATCGCAGGACATCTTCTAGAAGTATATATTCACACAGAATGGAATACAGAACGAATTCATTTCGAAGCTGCAACACCCCCTTACGCACAAGCTCAAATGCTGTCCTATTCGGATATCTGACGACAAAAGAATAAGTACCAAAGTCCCCATGTGTAACGGAATGTAATCTTAAGCTCTGAAAACTCCTTCGTGTGTCTTTTCGCAAAAAGCTATGAAGACGCGAGGACTCACTCAGTGGTTCTCCATTGAATAGCCAAGCTGTTATGCCGTTCACGTGATAGCAAACCATTTCCGTGTCTTCGCCATCAAATACACTCGATGTTACTGTGAACCTCGGGGGCAGGACGTCAGGATCAGTAACGAAAGTTGTTTCGTTTTCAAAAAATAACCGCGGTTGATAGATTGGCTGCACGATATGATCATCTAACAACAATATCACTCCCCGTGTCACATAAATCAGCCATGAAATCAACACACATAATAACGCTCCCCAAAGTATCATTGTTTTCTGAAGGAAGAGATGTTTCACACAACTGATAGTAAATTTAATGTATATGTAAGCATGCATGTTGATACCAAGGGAACATACACAATTTCTAAAGTTGATGACGAACAGTAGCACCATCAGCCTCAAGTCGACCAGATAAATGACGTCACAATCAACATCATGGAGTAAACCGTCAAACATCAACATCAGGGCACACAAGGTTGTCACTGTAAAGCATTTGGTAAGATCCATCCTGAATGTCGTCGTCAATAACTCACTGGTTTGTGTACACTACTATCTCCAATGACTACACAGTGTAGTCGTGACGCGGGTCTATTTTCAGTAAACTATTGAAATAGGCCCGTTTATATGTCAAGGACGTGAAAAGAGGCCACAAGTATTTTCACACATTCGGGTATATCTGTTACACTCAATCTGTGCAAGTGCCCATTGCGTGCATTGGGCAGGCCGTTTGCACAATGCGTGCAATGGACAGTGACGTGAAGGGGTTTTAAAATCTGATTCACTGAAGTCAAAGGACAAAGTTATTATATAAGGATCCATCCACCGAGTTATTTTACAGAGACCTGTTCACTTAATTTTTTTCACACACGGATGCATCAACATTAAATCATAAATGCTGTGGCGAGCCTTTTGAGATAACCCAATACAATCTGCTTCAGAGTCTTCAATGATAGATAATATTAAACAGTCTGAAGGAAAGCAATCTTGTGAAGGAACTGATCTTGGTATTTATGCCATATAAGAGCTCAAAACTTCAGAAGATCGATCAAAATATATCACAAATATTTCAACGTTAATTCAAAGATCAAGAGATTCTGCGATTATGTCGATGACTTGGTGACTTTATATTTAATATGTATTTCATCGTTTATCTTCCCGAGGCAAGGGAGTTGAATTACTTTAAAAGTCCAGTTTCCATCCTTGCCGAATCATTCGTGACCAACTCGAGTTATTTCTTGCAGGTGACGGAAAGGGGAAAGTGGTGACGAATGTTGCCGAATAAGGCTGGAATTCCTGGGCTCGATCGCAGCGCAACCAGTGGCTGTTACAAATTAAGTCCCTTCTATGCCTCTCCTATGGACCAATCAGATTCCACCTCTCATATCACTTGCATTTGCTTAAGACAAAATTGCGGCGCCCAGTCAAGACGGTCTGATCGATAATCAAGATCTATATTGTGAGAAAACGGGTCTTAGATCGCGAAGTGAATCAAATCACGTGAGCACATTGATTAAAAACTTGAAAATATCTGTTGCAAACGAGTTGGCGTTGCACATGCTGTATATATATAAACGTACATTTTCAATATTCATGTAAAGATGTAATTGTAATACGACAGTGCAGATGTGGTTGTTTTTCAAGATGGTTGCGTATCAGGTGTCTAATTTCTTACATTCGTACAATCAAGACATGAAATGTAAACTAACCACTTTGAACATTGACTGTACAGTGAGCACAATGGACATGCCTCCACCATGCACTAACAACAATTATTCCATACCTTGTTTAATTAATATAACATGTTTATGTATTAACGAAACACAATCAACCAAGTTAGAAGTTGTACAGAACATCACAAGAAAGCTCGCTGACTTGGTTGATTCATATCATCGTATCCCAATGCGTAGATCGATGCTCAGAATGTTAACCTCTTGATTGTCTCTTTGAGACTCGTTCATTTACACACCACATTCATATACCTGGAATATTAAGGCGTTTAACAACACAGAAACGAACAAATAATATATTTTAAACATCATTATAGTGTTTTCGTCATATGAAATCTTTCATACTTGTATGTAATACACACAATCTGGTGAATTCCAGCTTCTTGCCTTAGGTTTTCCATTACTGCATTTAGTGCCACAACAATCACCATGGAGTTTAATTATGTCTCTCTATAAAGCCAGTTATGCATGTATAAATGTGTGGGTTACTGAACATACAGAGCAGTTGTCTGCTGTGTAGAAACATCTGTTATTTCTTAGACTTATTACTCCTAACACTTTGCTATGACCACACTAATCTAATATAACAATAAAACGTTTAGGTGAGCTACAGAAACTTGTGGCTCTGTTTTGCTTTTAGTCCAAAATGGTACTTCAAAACCAATGAGCGCAAAACAGCATTTTGGACATAATGTATTCGATACACCCTTTTAACACAAACACAAACACAAGTTTTAACAAAAATGTTCTGTTTAATGAACGATTACCACACATCACCATTTCAACAATATATATACAACACCATCATACGCTGACCGCAATTATTGTGTGTAAAGCACAGTATAAGTCATTCAGCCGCGAATAGCCCAAACAATGCTGCTGCAACGTTGATTCAGCACAATTCATCGCATTCAATTAAAAACTCAATTTGATAAGACTTGAGAGTTAAACACATGTTCTACTTCCTTATAACTTACATATATAATAAATCTCTCGTCTAAATGTATGATGAACGCCTACACCCAAATGGCAGACCAGAACAAGAAGGGAAAAATGTTTGAAAAATTTAAAATGAAAAACACATAGAAATGTGCATGTTATTTGTCGAATTTTCAACCTAAAAGACCACCCATGTGAAATAGACATAGAGGTCGCATACAGAATTGCTTTGAGCGTCCGTTCTGATACGTAAAAGCATTCTGAAGAAGACGTGCCTAATTTCATATTTTTCATATTTCTGTCTTTTTGGAGACCTTCCCTATTTAGCAACAATCATAATCAAGAATCTATTGAACCCATGATAGCGATTGATTCCTGGCCATCCAACACACTGGTAGAATACAAGTATTCATTTCGGCATACTTGGACTCTACCATGACACTGAAGAATGCTTGATTCTGATTGGTCAAAATCAGGTATCCAATTCCATTCCCTACTTCAAACCTAAGATGCCTTTAGTATGTAAACATCAATTTATCGTTAAGCGTTCGGATCCAAATTGAAATAACAGATATCTGACCTACATAAGACTAATTAAATTTCAAGTTAGACTTCCTCCAGACAGGAATATGAAGACAATAGCGACAAAACACTTTCTATAATCATAAAAAAATCTCCGTTCTGCGTTATCATCATAAGCTGTGTTTATTTATCACTATCAAATAGTGATGGTAGCACGTGTCCTAGCCACCATATATTTTAGTGTCCCTTGTCTGGGTTGTAAACACAATCCGATTCCTGGTACGTGCGGATTGGTTTGTTGTAGAATGTTGTGAATCCCTGTTCACTGAGGAACTTCAGTACTTCAGCCTCGTATTGGGCTTTGAACACCTGTCGGTCACGTGCCAGAACGAACAGCGTCCCCTCGATGTTGTCACTGACAATGCTGTACTGGTATTGCTTGTTTGCGCCGAATGTAGCCGGGCCCAGTTTCAGCACCCAGTCTGAAGGAAATACATTCATGCAAGTCATTGTCATCTGTCCATGTTATGATAAATTGACAAGGTAATTGGTTGATGATTACATAATAAGAAAATTGAATGGGATCAGTATGTGATACATTGACGGAAAGAGGGACTACGTTCTACAGTTTGCTGACGGAACTTGGTGGCTGGGTTTTTATGAAAAAATAAAAAAATATATAAATTATTGTCCCCGAAAATTCTTGAAAAAAATAATTGTGCTTCAGAATGTTGAAAAGAAATGTTTGCCCCAAAATTACATTGTTGCAATGTGTTTTTCTTTCTAAAATATCCAGGATCATAGTTTCAAATCTAAAAAATAGATATAACTGAAAATATAAATATAAATTTATAAATATATAAATATCTAATCTCGATACAAGCTCCCAGGCCCCTCCAACCCTTAAAGACTATCAAATGGTCGGCCCCCTACTCCAAACAATGTGTGACTTTGTTCCCATTCAACGCTATAAAAGTCCAGTCGAATTTCGAAACAATGGTAATGGAAACATAGAGAATTTATTTTTTCCTTATCATACCGGCCCTCACATTCTTCAAAGAATATATAACGGAAGACTTTAATTTAATAAATTCCGACCAACAACAAATGGTTTTGAGGCAAAATATCACTCAACAAACTATGATATAAAAGTACTTGCCCGAACTAATGCCGGTTTCATAGTGCTACCTCACTGAGATAAGGATGCGAGCTACTCAACCTTGTGATTTGACAGCATATTTTCTAAATCTGTTTGAGTGTAAACACTAGAAGAGAGCCAGAGAGTCGTGCCTAACGCTACATATAGACGCACTATCAAACAAACAGATGCTCGACTTCGCCTTTTATTGTTTCCAGGATAACCTTTATCTCCCAATAATGTAATCAATGTCATGTATCTATCACGTGAGACTTTTGAAGGTAGGGTGAAATGAGGTCAAGATTGTTGTGACTTGCATGTATGGTTGTGTGGCTGATTGTACTAGTTCGGACTTACGCAAGTTTTAATGTACTAGCCCACTAAAATACAATGCTGCAGTTTAAAATGGAAACCCGACTGACACACAGTATAATGAATCCGACCGGACCTTCTTGTAGCCCCTAAGTGCAAAGCGACATGGTGGGCAACAGCAAGTACTATCTTAACGTCTTTTGGTATGACGCGGCGAGGGGATCGAACCATTGACCTTCTGTTCTCGGGGCGGACGCTCTATCGACCAGACCACCGAACTGTTTTTTTGCCGTTCTTAGGAAGCGAAGTATACTTACATGGGGCTGCGAAAGGGACAGTTTCAAGGGAAACTTTCAGCTGTCCGACGACGGCGGTCTTGTTGACGAAGCCGTGGATGACCTTGAGGTGACCAGTAGGGCTGCTAACACGTTCAGAGTTGAGGACAGTGATGCGACCGTCAGGGCTGAGGCCATCTTAAATACAGAACGTGACATGGAGCTGACCATAATGAGTGAGCGAATGTTGTTTTATTCAGCAATATTCCAGCAACGGTAACTAGACGTATCTTGGGCCAGGCAAACTAGTGGTTGACAGTGTGTAACGACCCACGTCGTCTGGGCACAATGACACGCAACTGGCCAGGTCATTCATTGTGACATCCCGACCCTCAGTAGTCTATATATCCAACAGGAACTCGTTATTGGTCAGTAAATAAATATATACCCCCTATATGTAAGCAGAGAAGTGCATATAGGGTGTACATATTTTATTCACTGACCAATAACGAGTTCCTGTGATATTTCCTCGTGTTATAGGTTACCGAGAGCCGAAGAAGTATTATAACAATCCCAATACACTGAAATTAAGTCTTTTGAGGAATGTTTTCATAGCGCATTGAATAGCATTCCTCGTGTAGCTTTATTCGCAACATAACCTCAGCGGCAAGTGGCGAACACGTTGATGTCTTTAGTGAGCGTTGACGTTTCTATCTTGATTACGTCATTTAGCGCGTATTGTTAAGAGGTGAGGCTCGAAAACGTGTGACGTGGGGACTCTGAGTGGTATAGTGGGCTTATTCCCCGACTCCTTGCGGAATTTGTTATAAAGAAATATGATTCGCTTAAAACAATGTTGTCATTGATACTCTGCTTACAACGCTGACAGTTAAACTAAAAGGCACATTTAGAACCGGCCAATATTCTTTTCGGACACTTCTTCACGACATACAATTCTTTTCGGACACTTCTTCACGACATACAATTCTTTTCGAACACTTCTTCACGACATACAATTCTTTTCGGACACTTCTTCACGACATACAATTCTTTTCGGACACTTCTTCACGATATACAATTCTTTTCGGACACTTCTTCACGATATACAATTCTTTTCGAACACTTCTTCACGACATACAATTCTTTTCGGACACTTCTTCACGACATACAATTCTTTTCGGACACTTCTTCACGACATACAATTCTTGTCTGGTAAGAGGAACCCAACAATTTGCAAAACACTTTTATTTCAGGACATCACGCATGTTCAGCGAAATTATCACATTCTTATTTGTTTTCCAAACCTGAGGCAATTGTTTGTATTTTCCCAGTTTTCCCTTGGACATTGTTTTCCAACAGAAATCTCTGACAAAAATGGGAACACTTTCAATGTATTTCTTTACAATTGGGGTAAATAGTTATAGTGTTATGTTTCGTATACACACACAGACACACATGCACAACATCAGCATATCTTTAAAGTAACATTTCTAGTTGAACTTACGACCCGCGAAGATCTGGTTTAGATAGGTCATCAGCAAACCCATGCTTGCCGTAAGAGGCGACTATGCTGGTCGAACGGGATCGGGTGGTCAGGCTCGCTGACTTGGTTGATGCATGTCATCGTATCCCAATTGCGTGGATCGATATCCATGATGTCAATCACTGGATTGTATGGTCAAGACGAGATTATTTACAGACCGCCGTTATATAGCTGGAATATTGCTGAGTGTGCTGTTAAACAACAAACAAACCAAAAAAGTTGTACTTACAATCCGCCGTCACACATTTCGCTCCTTGTTCAAACCATTTCCCCACTGACTCGCTTGACCACATCTGTGACAAAAACATGCACACCATGAGTGAGTGAGGAGTGAGTGAGTGCAAGTTTAACGCCGAAGTCGGCAATGTCCCAGGTATATCACGGTTGACTCCAACAAATCGTCATTTTTGTTTGAGATCGCCATTATTTTTTTAATGTACAGGAACTTACAAATTATTTCATCAGAAACAGGTGCTCATTTTTTTAAAATAACAAACATAATGTCACTTATTATAGTCTGCAAGAAACGGGATTCTTTCCTACAATGCAATCCTGTAATATTTTTTTTCAGTATCACGAGGCTTGATTAATTTTATTAGAACAATATTATTGTCTCACCTGATACCACCGACCGAGATACTTGGCATCGTCGAGCTGTGTGACGGTGTGAGGAGTTTTGTGTATGAATGTATCAAGGACAAATCCTGACGCTGTGGCGAGTAAAGCGGAGACTACGAATAAGGCTGTCATGTCGGTGTGTGTTGAGATCCTGTGACTTCTGTGATGGAACAGTTGGCCTGTATTCTCTTTATACCTTAGCTGAGTTGATGGTTATAAAACAGACACGTTTTCTATTCTCGTGATAGGGGACTATCCCTAAGTCGCTTATCTTAACGTTATATATCGCGTGTAGAAATCCGTCAATAGGTTATACAACGTAATTGGGGCAACTGGCATAATTATCATTAGTTATAGTGTCTTTGGTTGCCGTATACGGTGTCATATTAGGTTAGCAGAATGATACTGGGCGAGGCGTCCACTGTGAGCTTATTTCTCAAAAATATTTATTAATAAAGTCAGGAACGTGGTTTCTTTAACAAATGTCTTAGCACAGTCACAATTAATTATACTAAAACACAATACAGTGTCGAATAACGAATTTCTGTTCCAGAATTTTCATGTGAAATATATGAAGTTGGTGTAGCAAAATCCATAATGGCTGTTACTGACGGTATACGGTCTCATATTAGATCAGTAACAACCATCTTGGCTTACTGACGGTATTCGAGCTCATGTGGGGTTAGTAGTAAGTTTGTTTGGTCAATCTTACTTTAAGGCTTACTAAGTCAAGATTCAGATTTGATGTTTTAGTGAGTGTACAGTTAGATGTAAGGTTTGAGATCCAGGGTCGGGGTGGACGTAACGTGACCCAGTGACAGGATACACATCACTGCAATACATGTATACATCGTTGTGTGATTGTCAAATGGACCCCACCCCAATTGAAAGTACAACATCGTTAAAACTGAGAACCAACCATAACAGTTTACGATAAAATGAGTGAGTGCGTTTGGTTCCACGCCTCTTTGAACAGTATTTCCTTACAAACATAACATAACAAATGTTATTTTTAGCATGGTGTATCAAACACTTTCAATTGTATGCAAATTGTGTGAGTGCCAGAAGGGAAGGACAGGCTTGTCCTTTTCGCGAACACCTGGTGTCATCACTGATTTTCAGTGATTCGTTCATATAATTTTCACCGCTATTTTGCCTTTTACACCAAATGGAATCTGTTTCGGCAGAAACCTGAGACTCTATATATTGACGTTTTATATCCAGTTACATAAGATAGCTACGCGATAAATCGCAAAGAACAATGAAGAGTGAGTGAGTATGGTTTTACACCGCTTTTTTTATAATATTCCAACAATATCACGACGGAGGACACCAGAAATGGGCTTCACACATTGTTCCCACGTGGGTAATCGAACCCGGGTCTTCGGCGTGACGAGCGAACGCTTTAACCACTCGGCTACCCGACCGCCCCAGACAATGAAGAACGAAGTGTGGTTTATTATATACTTCAGTGTGGAAGACGGAGTTTTCTGAAGTTGAGAAAAGGGATATTTTCATTCCAGTGAACATAACAATTGATATTTTACTGCTGTGAACATAACACTTTAACGGAACTATTGTCATATAAGAATGACCTCATCTTAAATTGTCTCCCTTTATCGTAAGTGTCTGACCCGTTCTTAAAATGTTGACTTCCTTTTTACGTTAGTTCTCCACACTGACAGGGCAAAATATGAACAGATGGCCATTTAGGGAGTTAATGTCACATCATGGCGTTTGTTTTTCTCTTGAAAATGTTCCGTTATAAACTGTATTTTTTTCACTTAACTCGCCAATCGAGACCGTTCGTTTCGCAAAGCGCCATTTTTGTTACTTGACCAGCGTGTCTTCTTTCGCTTCAAACAGCAGTCTCGAAGTTTTCAAGAATAATTTTTGTTAAAGTTGACTTTATATATAATCATAACTATTGTGTGATACAGAATTTTCGCGACCATAATTTTTGTTGTTGTTACTTTTGTTTATATTTTTTTTTAATGATTTTACAAACACTAAACTACTTTTTTAATCGCAAATACAAGGGGTGGTGACCCGTCCCTGTGTGTTAGGTGGGGAGAATTTGCGTTTCAATGTATTACGTTTGTAATGAAATAATTAATTTTCTAGTATACAACTACACAAAAAGTATATAATAAATTGAACGTGCGCTCGTAACTTGATGTCGTCACAGATGATGACGACGTTATTTTTGAGAGGGGAGTGTCTAATGAGTTGTTCGTTGTCTAGGTCGTCGTTTATCGTGCAATAAAACACTGCAGGGGGAATAAACCATGAGGGGCGTCAGCTTGATTAGAAGAGCCGTAGGTGACACAGGTCTTAGACCATTACCATTTTGGTAAAACCCACAGGCACCGGTATCGTGCTGACAAACTGAGGACTATAACAAGGGCATATCGGTTATACAAACATGACGATGACAAGGCAAAGGGACGCAACTCCTCACACCATATCTCGTATAGATTCGGAACAGTATGTAAACCTGAACATTCGTCAAGTTTACAAAGGTTTCAACTGAAGGAGCAGCACATTTCTACGGTGGCCATGGACATGGAGTCTGTTTTTCAATATTTTGATATTTCGCTTACTTTTGTCGTAACCTTTTGCAAATTAACACAATTTGTCATACCAATATGTGATAAATCATGTATAAAAACAACCGAAAACATGGATAATGTACTTTCAAGTAGCTACTGAATCGCTGAAATGTGAAGCGAAAGTGTCAAAAACTAACATTAAAATGTCAAAAACAAAAGCGAAAATGTCAAAAACTAAAATGAAAATACAGAAAACTATTTCGACCGCGGAGTAAATAGTTTTCTGAATATTCATTTTAGTTTTTGAAAAAAAGTCGATACCATAGATAAGAGTGATTTACACAGTTAACTGCCTTTGCGAAGTCAACAAACAGTCAATAAAATGTTCTATCTGATTTTGCATAGGTGTTTGCTAATCAAATAATGTGAAGATATTGTCGAACGAGGCATATCCTTTTTCTAAATCATGCTTGATTTTCATTTATATCATTGTCATTTGACCTTTTCTGTAATTTCTCATTAAGTATTTTAGTGATTTTTTTTTATATAACTGTCAGTAATGATATTCCTTTGTGGTTGTGCATGTTATCGCCGGTCCTATCTTATGAAGCGGACCTATAATCGCTTTACACTATTAATCCGAGTAATTTCCACAATTCTGCACTGGAGAGAATTGTATTGAAAAGTCGAAAAAATATATATGAGATTATACCTCTAGGGTGTTGAAGTGGTTCTTATGTAATACCGTCTTATCCTGGTGATTTCGTCTGCTTTATATGTTTAAAAGCATCTAGGGCTTCGAGTAAAGGGATGGGGGTGTTTAGTTGATCAAACCTTCCATATGTTTTGTTTGTTGTTTAACGCCGCACTCTGCAATATTCCAGTAAATAATCGAATCTTAACCAGACAGTCCAGTGATTGACATCGTGAGCATCGATCCACGCAATTCGAATACGATGACATGCATCAATCAAGTCAGCGAGCCTGACCATCCGATCCCGTTAGTCGCCTCTTACGACAAGCATAGTCGCCATTTACGGCAAGAATGGGTTGCTGAAGACCTATTCTACCCCGGATCTTCATGGGTCGTTCCATATGTACACAGTAAGTTACCGACTCTATCATCCATTAAGGGGTTAAAACAAGGACTGGTTGGGTTACTGTGTCTGGGTGGGGTATTCATGTTAAACTGCGGCATGGTAACTATAAATGGTGCCAATCACTGGATTGTCTGGTCCAGACTTGATTATTTACAGACCGCCGTCATATATCTGGAATATTGCCGAGTGCGACGTAAAACAACAAACAAACAACCATACTAATGTGACGACAACGTTTCATAATCAAATCTAACATAGATTTAATAAACTTTTCTGACGTTATTTTGTATCACTACTTCATTTATGTCACCGCGTGACGGATTAATGTGAAAGAAAACCCCAACGTAACATAGCTTGTAGACGTTTACTCCGTTAAACCCACAACATGGGTATATAATGAACTCATAGTAAACTCACGACATGGGTATATCATGAACTCATAGTAAACTCACAACATGGGTATATCATGAACTCATAGTAAACTCACAACACGGGTATATCATGAACTCATAGTAAACTCAAAACATGGGTATATCATGAACTCATAGTAAACTCACGACATGGGTATATCATGAACTCATAGTAAACTCACGACATGTGTATATAACGAACTCATAGTAAACTTACAACATGGGTATATCATGAACTCATAGTAAACTCACAATATGGGTATATCATGAACTCATAGTAAACTCACGACATGGGTATATCATGAACTCATAGTAAACTCACGACATGGGTATATCATGAACTCATAGTAAACTCACGACATGGGTATATCATGAACTCATAGTAAACTCACGACATGGGTATATCATGAAGTCATAGTAAACTCACGACATGTGTATATAACGAACTCATAGTAAACTTACAACATGGGTATATCATGAAGTCATAGTAAACTCACGACATGGGTATGTAATAAACCAAAGCTGCTTCCGCAATTTGGTATCAAAGTGAAACCATAAATACTTGCAGCTAAATTGATCTCATTATCATATAACCCTTACCAACATCTGTCTTCTCCTTGGCAGTTGCTGAAGCCAGAGTAGACTCTCCCTCACTTAAACAAATGTTTATCCTTTGGAATGCCAACATAGATTTTACCAATTAGGAGCAAAGTACTATTCTCACAAATATGTTTTTACTGACCGGTCCAAAGATATTTGCAAAGTTGCAAGTGACCACTGTCTTTGGTTCCAAAACAGTTTCAGAATCTCAGACATAAGCTCAATTTTCACTCCTTAGGCCAAAAGCAATTTAACAGCTTTGGTCAACATCAAACAAGAAACCAAAAGGGTTTTGTAAACAACAAAATGTAACAGATATACGTACCCGGGGCACTGGGGTTTTAATTTTGAAATTTGGAAAGAAATTTGTTCTGTGTCATAAATTGTGTAGATTTGTACGAATTACATACTTTAAATACACACTGATGACACAGCAAACATTCACTAAGTTTGAATGGGAGTAAAAGCAAAACAAAGACAATTATCCTTGTCGACATGAATGCAATCAATTTGGT